AGCAGACTAAATATCTAAACTCACCTGTGTCGCTGAGCAGAAACAGAGCTATTTCCTGGAATGATTTCAGAACAACAGCCGCTGTTTCTCATGCTAAATGTTCAATCTGTGAGTACAGCCTTGAAAGAGGAAACAAGTCATGTTGTATAAATGCTGTTTGTTAAATGTGAAAAGTCTTTGAAATGCTTAACCAAACGTATTTCGTCGTTGTACATTTTTGTGAAAATTCAGGTTCTACTGAGATTTGAACTCAGATCGCTGGATTCAGAGTCCAGAGTGCTAACCATTACACCATAGAACCGGTGGGAGGACACTGCTCAGTTCAAAATACACAACGCCTCCACCCAGTGGACACAGTCGGTTATTACATGTTCAAGGATCAGTGCTGACTCCTGGTGCTGGTTACTTGTTTTTTAGTTTTTAAAAACCATTTCTCATCTTTAAATGTCCCTATCCAGTGGCGTCACTGTGAGACAACAACATTAACAGGATCTGTTTAAGGACGAAATGTGTTTCTAATCATTTTATTCCACACAAAGGTGCCACGTTAAATTTGTCCCTTTGAAATGGACGGCTGTATCAAATATGGGTACTAAACTATGCTACAGGAATCCTTTTTATAGTAGCCTATGTAGGCCAATAATTTTGCAGCATGTAGGTATAGCCTACTATGTTAATGCATTGCTGTGAATAACTGTGTTACTGCAGACATTGTTTTCTGCAGACATTTGTTTGAACATTACTTACCGTCCTATTTAATTTCCACAGCATAATAAATATTTCCGTTGTTGCAGCTGACTGTTAATGTGGTTGTTTCGTTCATTTTATTTCAGCACATTAGTTAATCGGAATTTCTAAACTCTTTTTCTAGTTATTGTTCCATTTTCATTTTTGTAGCCTATAATTAGTTAGTGCAGTTTATCAGATTGTTATTTTGTTTTTAAGGAATGTTTAGCTGTGCATTTGTAATATTTTTGTAGCCTATAATTTAGCCGATAGAAGTCATTTTGCTGTGCAGTTTAACAGATTTTTAATTTGTTATTAAGGAATGTTTAAAAAAATATATGTCAGCTTTCTTTTTTCAGCGTTCATCTAGGCTACTTTATTCTAAAGCTTTATCAGCCCTCTGTCAACATTTGGAAATAACTCACACAGCGCGTGCATAATTAGCACTGACATTTTAATTTAGAAAATGAGATGTTCTTAAGGAATGTTTAGCTGGGACAAGAAGGTTATTTTCTACCACATCTTATTCAGAAATTAATTAATTGAAATGATGTCATTCATTATGGCAAACAGCGTTACTGACAAATTGTGGCATTAAAGCTATAGGTCACTTTCTTCCGTTGGCTTTAGGCGTCTACATTCAAGTGTTAAATTATTTACAGGCTAAAATCAGGGAGGTAATCCTGATTTTAAAAATGAATGACCTCCTACGTTAGTGATCGTCGATACAACTATAGGCTGAAGACAGATTTTATAGCCTAGCAAAAAACGGAGACAAACCCGGACTCCAGCGCTATTCAGGCCTTTGTTTTACGTTTTAATTCCCTGTATAATGACATTTCCTGTTTTGTGGTCTCCAGGTCTGTAGAATATGTGATTGAGGCTGTCTGGTCTCATCTGCAGACAATGACTTTAACATTTAGAAGGACAGTTGAGCCCCCAAGGCAGGAAGGGGTGTCCAATAAAACCATATAGTCACAATGACTTGTCTGGGCTAAATTACTTTATGGTACGTGTGTGTGGGTGTGTGTGTCTGTCTTGAAGGTGGGGAAAGTCACGTTTATTCTCCAAATGCATGGTGTTGGTTTATGACCCTGCAGTAGGATGAGCGCTGAGCAGATTATATGGCCGCAATAAATGAGAGAAGCTACGAGGCACTGCGCTGACTTTGACAAAACAAGGAGGCAGAAATGTCTCTCTGTGGACTGAAACCCAGACTACATACCTGAGAGCGGTGGAACACCTTGACGTTGGAATAATATAATCGTAATAAAAAACATAACACATGGTATTATTGGTCTGTAATCCGGTGAAACGTGATACTGCGTTTGTACTGTTTTTTTCTCTTGGAGGATCACACCATAATAATACAGGAAATACCATCAGAACAAGACACATTTTCTTTTTGTAAGTAATAATTTTAGTGCAGTAATGTAGTGGTATTTAGTATTTATCTAGCCTATTTCATACCAAAAAGTAAACACTGAACAAATGAAAAATAAATAACAAAAAAAAAACGGCAATTTTATTACAGTTATACTAATCTAACCAAACGATTGCACAGGCCTACGCACAATTTGTAGGAATATTATTATTATTTGTGTTAGTAGTAGTAGCCTGGTATTATGACCGTAGGCCCAATTATAGAACCGTACGGTTACTACATAAAGCCTCTATAGAACTAGTAGCTATTAGTGGAAATATCCAATAAAACCAATGTAGCCCAAATGTCTAATCCGTCACATAAAATCGCAAAACCATCCTCTTCAGTGAGTTTGTAACTCTTCCCTAGGTGTAGATTTAGTGCCACGATTCAAGTGCAATCGGGGGGAAACGCCTTTGTTCCCTGTGTAGCTCATCGTCACAGGTAACCTCACATTTTAGAAATTGATTCATGTTTTTTTTATTCAGTATACTTTATGGTCACATTGTTGTAATTTATTTTTGTTGTTTATCTGATCCTTGTAGGCCTGTTTTGTCGTGTGTGCTGACTCTGACATGTCTTGACTTGGGATAATAACAAATGAACTGAACTGAATATGAAGTGAAAACAACAACAAACCGCACAATTAAGAATGCTGTAATCCATCTTTTATTTTATAAAAAAAAAAATCACCACGAGCAGCATATTCAGCCTAAATGAGCAGACGAAGGCCTCTTTTCATCACATCTGGACTCCAGTAAAATCACAGCGCAGGACAACTGCCGCTGTAGGCTAACATAGCCTGATGTGTTTCCTTTTCTCCCAAAGAGAATGTGTTTATTTTTGAGTCCATCTCATCCTCGTGAAAAAACACAAAAATAGGCTACCTTTTGATATGCCTATAATATTTCAACATTATTGTAGCTACAATCTAAATGAAAATGGTTGTGCGTTGTGTCTGTATGTGATCCTTACAAAACGTCTTGTTTATTCTTACATGAGGTAACAGCGAAACAAAAATAACCATCAGACTGCTGCCACACCATAGCTTAGCCATGACTGGTGTGCATGTGTGTGAGGAATATAGGCATGACCATATCTGCATATTAGACCCACAGTAACAACAGATATACACAGCAACAATGACAACAACAGCAACAACAACAATAACAACAAATATGCCTTTAGGCTACATGCACAGTTTATAAAACAAAACAAGGAAGCTTATTCTGTTTTCAGGAACAAAATGTTAAATGTCCCCTCTGATAATTGATAATTATTTTAGGGGGGCTGGGATTGGTTGTAACACAGTAAAGTGCTCCACTCTGGAGCAAGTTAAACAACTACTGAACTACTGAACAACTACATGATTATAGGCCTTTTCCTGACAGCATTACTCACCTGGGTGCACCTGGAATACATCATGAATTACTCAAAAGTCTTTGATATCACAGTTTTTAATTGTGTTTGCTTGTTTGTTTATTTTAATTAAGTTTATAGTTATAATTGTGCAAACGTGACATTCTTTTCTGCTCCAGAATAAATGCTAATCGTCCACACTGAGGTTATAATTGTAAGCTAAGGTTGTGGATAGATATAACATATTTCAGCATGTTGCGACATGTTGCAAATGATTTGAAATGATTATGATTTACAACTGTTTCTTTATTTTTAGGTTGTGGTAACAAGAAATGCACTATTGGATCTACTGCAGAGCCTCCAGAGCCATTCTTGTAGCATCTCATCTCGTTGTAGGAGAAAGAAAATATCAATCTTCAATTGCTCAAGAAGCATGATGTTGCATGTTTCAGTTTACAAAGGAAGTTCCTTGTAACTTGCGTATTTGACACTTCTGAGTCTGGTTCGAACAACCTTTCAAAGCACATGTGAATTCATCACATTTGAACATGTGGACAAATCATTTACCATCTTAAAAATACACATTTAGCCACATGTGGTTTGCGAAACAGTATCTCACGTTGATGATTTCACATATATGTGTGTGTTGTTTTTATTTATTTCACATATAGGCTAATATCTTGTGTGAAATCGTGACATGTGATAGATTTACATTTTTGTAAAGGTAAGACAATTGTAAACCAGTACCAATGAGCCTGAATAGCAGCACATTGACAGCAAGTCCAGGCACAGTAAATGTGATTTGTGTCTTAAAGCTAGGGAAGGCGACGACAGAGAAACTAGCAAGAGACTGCTAGATTTTGAAGGTATCCAAGCGAAGAAATTCCACCCACTCCTTACAGGCCTCCCTCCGAAGCCACTCCACCACATCACATTTTCATGTGCAGTGAGTGCACAAGCAGACTATGTAGGAAGGATTTTTTTTAATCATTTTTGTGTCAGAGCATTTGATTTATTGATTGATGTGGTTGATTAATATAACACACCAATAGAAGAAAAATGCTTCTCAGTCTGAATCCTGAGTCAAATTCCTTATGTGTACACATGGCTGGCAAATAAAGCTGATTCTGATTCTGAAATCAATCGCTTAGCCCAGCTTTAAGCTCAAATAACGATTAATCATGCAAATGATTGAGAATTACAGTATTTTAAAACAAGAATATGATCAGATTTCACCTTTAAATTAAGCTAACTAAGGGTTCAGCAAACTACCGGTACATCAGTTGCTCATCTTCCTGTTTACATCACTTGCCACTGAAACTCACAGCTTAATTTCCCCAGTGTGGCCTCACCCTCTTGTCTGTCTTAAGCAATAATTTCATTAGAAGTGTCACGCTTCTGTTTGTTTAGGTTTCTTTTCCACAATTATTTTATTTTAATTTCAAATAAACACTCTGCGACGAGTTTTCAGACATAAGACAGGCACTCATTCACGGGATCACTCATGGGATTTATCTTTTGATAGCACAGTCTCGTCTGGCACACTGAGAGCACTTTTTATGAGGCTAATAGTTTTTAAAACATGATTCACATTTTGGCAGAAAGCACAGACAATTTATGTGAAGTCAAGTATGTGTCAAGTAGTTTCAGTTTTTGGACATTGTGAGATATACACCCTTATCAAAAACAGATGTGTTTTAAAGTGAACAAAGTCTTTGATATCAGCTAGTGTGTTTTTTGCCTAAATTTATGGATCTCCCTATAAATGTTAACATTTGATTCTGAGCGTTATTTACAACTACCCCACGTTACAGGTTGACTGTCTTCATTTTGTAACATGCAGATGGAAGAATTCTACACCAGAGTTCAGAAGATCTAACATGAAAAGGCCAAAAGACTTTGATAGGAGTCTTTTTGTGTTACAACCCATCCTGGTCTCCCCTGAGGAGTTTGACCACTGCAGTGCTCCAAGGCAGCCATGTTAGCTCCACAATCCCTCGCTTAGTAGCAGCTGATCATGATAGCTGAGGTTAAAGATGTTGGACATCTCGGAGCACTGCATTCTCTTTTATCAGCTATAACCTCACCTCCTCCTCACCTATCCTGCAAAAAAAAACAACCCCAGCCTCTTCTCCAAATCCATCATTCATTCAAACTCCTCCTCTCCCGGGTCATCAGCTTCTTCATCTTCATCCGCCTGTTCTGGAACCAGATTTTGACCTGTCTCTCTGTTAAATTTAAGAGCCCTGCCACCTCCAGGCGCCGGTCCCTGGTTAGGTACATGTTGTAGAGGAACTCCTTCTCCAGCTCCAGGGTCTGGTGTTTGGTGTACGGACACCTTTTCTTCCGAGTGGACTTGGCATAGATCCAGCTAGCTGATGGATTTTCTGTAGAAGAAACAGGGTGGCATATATTTTAACTTTAACCACACACCAGTATTTACTTTCAGCTGGTTGGCTTGTATTTGAGTGTGTGTGTACAAGTGTGCTGTGGGGAGTTCAAAGACTGACATAAAAATCAAAGAAAATATTCTCAGGAACAAATTTTATGAGCCTGCTACTTCTGGCTCATTAGAAAAAGAAACAACACCACATGCTCAAAACACAGCTCCATAAATAAAGGCAATATTCAATTCCTTTTTTAAAACCACATTACTCCTTTTATCAAAGCTAAAAATGCAATGGAGTTTTATTAGCCCTAGGGTTGTTTATGCTCTCATTTTTTTTTTTTACAGTTCCGTCATTTCATTAATTTTCACTAAACATAATGTGACATTGTGTAAAATAATTTTTGTGGATTCTGATGTAGCTGAAGCCCTTTTAAGATGAAAATGTTTTTGGGAGGACAGCAAGCAGCAATAAATAGAGCAGAGTGTTCCCAATAAAGATCTAAAGAGTAAATCTCTGTCTGAGTGCAAGCAGTGTTGATAAACAGCCAAACTGAGCCTCATTTTTAGAATTATTAAACTGCAATTGGGGAGAGATATCTGAACCTTTGACTGATATAAAATGCTTTATTGGCCACTTAGTTAGACAGAGAGCCACCAAGAGAGCAACAAGTTTTTTGGCTTTGGCTTGGTGCTCAAGGCTCACACCACACAGTTGTTGCTCCCTGTGTTTCAGTTTCTGAATTATTTATTTGATGAAGTGTATCAAAGAAAAATATGTATAGCCTAATAGTCAATAAAATGTATTTTTCTTCTTCTACTTATTATTATTATTAGTAGTAGTAGTAGTAGTATTATAAGCCCAGTCATATTGTTTATGTGTTGCTTGACATCATGTATTTTATTCGGTGTCCCTCTTTAATTTCTGTTTATTGTAATTCAGACTTTTAAAAAATACTTTTGTGGGTCTTAATTTAAAAAACGAATAATTAGGCCTTTGTTTAATGCATGCTGCAATCATGAGGTTACATCTGTGCAAGCTATGAAACATAAAATTGCCTGTAAATTAATATGGCGTTTTTGGACAGACATTCTAATACAACATATTGGCTATAGATTAGCCCATATTTGGCAAAATAAGCTTCCAGCATTAATTGAAAGAAAAATAATAGTGTAGCCTACTTTCTGCACAAATCCAATCCGAGGAGTGCAGTGCAAGCCTACCTGTGCTTTCCCTCTGGTGAAACATTTTTAAATAATAGCAATAGCAACTTAATTATTTTAATGGTCAATAAAGTGCTCTATTTACAGTTTACAAGACATTTATAGGGCTATAAAAGTCACACGCACTTACGTACTCACTAGGCCACGTTCTTCTTCTCTGTCACACACTCACACAGACACACACCTGTGTATGCACAAGCTAATAAACATTCCTGAGTTTGGTATAACCTATTTGTCTTTACCGGGGTCAGGCTGTTCTGTTTCTCTCTCCGCGTCCTCTTTTTTGGGCTCCGGCTTTCTTCCCAGCTCCTCCGCGGTCCCAAGCCGCTCGAGGACCACCTCAGTCGGGCTGGCGAAGCTGGAATCCTCGGGGCTGCCGTGTGGCGGCGGTGAACTCTCGGGTTTAACCACCTCGAACCTCGGGCTCAGATTGGAGAGGTCACCCTGAGAGGGGAGACACCCGGGGAAACCGGCAGAGGCATGGGACAGAGAGGTCTCCGAGGTGGGAGTCGCCCCCTCCCAACAGCGTACGAACCGGCTCTCGGAGGCGACCGCGGATGAGAGGTGTTCGGCGTGGGTCTGCGTCTGCGGACCATAGTATGGGTGGTGGTGGCTCAAGAGGTGATGTGGATGAAAAAGGCCAGAGATGGAAGCGCCGGGGGTGGACTGCAGCTGCGGAGAGGAGGACGAAGAGGAAGTAGATGTGTTTGTCCAAGGAGAAAAGCCGTTTAAACTCGTTTGTTTGTTGGAAAAATGTGAAAAATCCGGAATGTGTGAGCCCGGGGTTCCCTCATCCTCCTCCGTTCCCCGGACTGGCTTTGCGCAGCCGGCCGTAGATCCCTGCAAGCCTCCCGTGATAAAATGTGTACCGTACGGCTCTTCGGTCTGGAGCCCCATCATGGAATAATAATTCGTTAGCGACATGTTTATTTTATTATTTCAATAAAAATACACTTAAGTGCGACTGTAAAACGTTAGATGGGCTGGTATAGTGGCTTACATCCTCCCCTAAAATGGTAGTAATTTTTTTCCTGCCCTTACCTTCTTCTCGACTGCCCATTGGTTATACTGTGGATCACATGGTTAGACTGTATTTACCCAGAATAGGAAATAAATCAAATCATTCTTTTGTGCTCAGAAATGTGTTAGTAGGCCTACTAGCCTGTTGCCAGATGGGCCTGAATGTAGCGCGTAGGTTCATAAAACTGTATTTGAAACACCGTACAAGCTGAATAAAAATGAGCAGGGAGTCTTTACAAGTTTGTTTGAAGTTAGCACGCGCGCGCGTGTGTGTGTGTGACAGGATTGAGATTAACAGACAAGAGAAAGTGATTTCCTTGATCTTGAGTTTACAATGAAAACATTTTGTTGGGAAAAACTCTCCCTCGAAGTGGCATCACATGCTCTTTCTTTTGCGTATGGGCTATTCTACTACCCAAAACAGGGCATGTCTAATTGGATTTGTGTTAGTAGACTGGTCAGAAAATGCTGTTATTTTCAGATCACATGATTATATTAAGCTGTCATTTGTTTTATTTATTTAGTAGCCTTCTTATTATTGATAGGCTAAATAAAATTCTGATATCCGTTTGCGCAAAGCCGCATTAATGTTACATGATTGCTGGTCAGATAAACCCGTGTTTATAGCCTATTGCAGCTGTATCCTATATATTATTTAGATCTAGGCCTAGATTGTTCTAAGATGCTGATTTCTCTATTCACCATCATTGGGCCCATGTTTGTGTGTGAAAGTGAAATTTCATTGGCTGGAGAAGTGGGTGACGAGAAGAATGGGGGCGTGGTCTACGTAGACAAACTGATTGTGCCCCTTTCCTAAATTCCGTATCAACCCTCTGCTAACATAGACCTTGATCGCTGTCTCTTCTGCACTCTTAGCGCCATCTACTGGCTGGATGAGATAAAACAGGAGGCATTCTCAAACGCCATCATGTATGCTAAGAAGCCACATTAGATCTGATCCTGTGGAACATCATTCTTAGAATATTTTTTATTAAATATAACTCCGGGCACACTGTAAGTGAGTTGATTCCAACAGGATGAAGCAAAACAATCCTTTCAACAGCGTCATTGTGCTAACTTCCAAGGAGTGACATAGCTTAATAGTGAAAAAACAACATTGCAAATGATCTTGTACCGGGGATCCACTTGCCTCTGGAAGTATCAAGTTCCTTTTTGACAACTAAGAATGTCAGACTATTAAATAAAAAAAAATATTACAAAAAAAAAACAATATTTGAGCTGCCAACCCTCTGGTGTATTTCAGCAAGCTGGGCTCTTTACTGCATCGTTTTTTATTTAGCACAGTATCACGTTAGTTTAATCTCTATCTACTGGTCTCAGTAATACAATGAAGAAACACATAATTAAATGAAAGGATAGACTATCCTTTCATTTAGCTGGACCCTGGAGGATTCAGGCCAGATGCATGTTATTGCAGTAACTTCCTGTAGGTGGCAGTGTCTTCATGACTGCCCTGGTTGGGAGGGGGTCAAGCTCAACCCGCTGTTCATTTGCCAGTCTATGTTGCAAGCAGGTAAAAGTCGTGCAGGCTGACAACATTTATTTGACAAATTGATGTCAACTGTTTCAGAAATGATCATTGAGAAAATCGTCAGGGGAAGTATTATTGTCATTATTATTTGCTCTTACATTACTATTTCTATTACTGTTAAGCTACCTTGCTATTGCTGTTACTAGCACTCCTACCATTACTATCACTTCCTTACTAGCATTTAAAAAATATTTATAACACACTATAATTAAAGCAGATGTATGGGCTTATTAAGTGTTTATTAATGTACAGTATTTGTCAACAATTCTAACTTCTTCTATACATATTTTCCATTTCTACAACTGTGTTTTACTTTATTGTCATTCATTATCTGTTTATACACCAGCCTTACCCACAGGAGTTATGTACATTAGTAAACACTTATATCTGCTTACAAGCTAACACAATGTTAAAAATACTAATTCTACAAATCTTAATACTACTACTAAAAATAATAAAAATACTGCAATGAACTACTGCTCCTGCCACTTTTTCTCCTTTCCGCAGTAATGCTGCTGCTACAACTACTACTGCTACAAAAACTGCTACTATTACTGCTGCTGATACATATACCACCCCTTATACTGCCTCTTCAATTTATTACTATTGTTTAACTACTCGGTAACATTCACTGTTACTGCTTCTACTAATAGTTTTATTAGGCTACTGTGCTTACTTTCTACTTGTCGACAATGATTACTGTTACTGCACTGTCAATTTCTTTAAAATTCAAAAAACTGAAATATAAAATAAAAATAACAATGCTTAGCATTTATTAAAAAACAGCATATAAATAAATCAGTTTAAAACATCTCTGTTGGTAAAAGAAAAAAATGGGCCAGCAGGTTTGAGGTCGAGTTTATTGTAGGCCATTAGTATAAATGTCTTTCAACCAGAAACACAATCTCTTCTTTCATGTCTTCCTTTTTTTACGTCACACACAAATACACACTTACACACGGACTGGGTGAATGTGTGAGACGAAGAAAGAGAGAGACAGCAGACTGTCTGTATTGCCCCAATAAAAGTCATTACGTTGACGAAATGGTGGTCGTGTCAGTGTGTTTGCGGTTCAAGGTTCATCTGCAGCCTTGGACTCACTGTGTGTTTCTGCTGTCTGGTCCTGGTGTTGTTCAAAGTCTGGGTCGGAACCTCAGAGTGAAAAAAATTGAGAAAACATGACAGAGAAGCTATTTACTACTTTTACTCATTTTCCTTTATACTTTCATTTTCACAGACATTTCTACTCACTTCTGTTTGTAATATTTTATATTAGTATAACCTGGGGTTGCAATGACCTGCTTAATAACCTGTATTTTAATTAGAGTGGTTGTCTTTACAATTTAAACATTATCCAACTAAAATGTGAGCCTATTAAATTGTGTTTCTGTTTTGTTGTTGAAGTGATCACATGATGCTCATTTCATTTCATACAGTGTGATTATATATTTTATTTCAAAACCAAGCAAGGGCAAGCATACAACTTAAAACTGATTAAAACCTAAATAAACTGATGAAATCTCTAAAATTCAAAACCTGATTTTGATAGCTGGGCTTGAGTATTTTTGATGTCTTCTTTTCGGAGAGAAAGGAAGGGGAAGGAGTTGTCTTTTAACAACCATAATGTAATCGACTAAGAAATGAAAAGAATATGATTAACTACAAAAGGAAATGAAGAAGATCATGATTTTATTAGTATTTGATTAAAATGTGTGTGTGAAAAGAATAAGAGAAGTAAAGAGTAAGAGAAGTGAAGGAACATGTTGAGACAAGTGCTATGTTGAAACATTCAGACCCCTCTGAATGACCCAACGCTGTAACAAAAACAGCATTTAAAATAAGTAATATTTGTATAAATATATTCTTATTTTATAAGAAATTCTATTATATATGTACAATTTGACATTAAACCATAACATGAATTTGTTGTGTTTTTGTTTTGTTTTGAAACCCTTGTAATAAAAATTTTAAGGTAAATCTTTCACAGCTTAAAAGTATTTAACATCAAATTAAAGATTACACACTCCTCTATAAATTCCCTCCAATCCATTTGAAAACAAACACCAAACCATTTTCCTCACAGAGATATTGTATAATGTTGTCAAATATTTTAATACATCACGCTTACATGTTTTGAAATATAATCCATGAATATTTAGAAATGCAAATAATACTGTTGCAATAAATGGCCTCACACTTGACACAAACATACAGTATTGATTCATTGATAACGGTGGGTCATTCAATATTTATTCACATTTAACTAATCACAAATTACTTCGTGCTATTTCAAAGTACATCAAAGTAAACCAAGCAATATGATTGCACTCATATGTCTTTACAGCCTAAAAACACAGTAGCAAAATGGTACCCAATTTTAAATGTCACAAATATCAGAATAATTCATGTAGATTGTATTCGCTTGCCTGAAAATGATTTTATTCATATGCTAAATAGATGGTTACATTTTATCAAGTATTTTGTCATTAGTTATTAGTTTTGAGCAGGTACATCAATTATAACAAAATTCACATAAACAACAAGAGGATTCATAATTAAAACGCTCATGACCACGCTCACACATGAAAAGGATGAAGAATGTATGTCCTCATTTCTTGGACATGACACGAAGGCCTGAGGCAGAGATGTGTAATTTCTTCAATGTAAGCCACATGATTTAAGAAGAAATTTGGGTTCAAATGAGGAAAGAGGAGTACTCTGAAAGTGTTTTTGATGAGAGATAGAATATTCAATATAAGCAGCTGTTGTGTTAATTGAGAAAAAACATGGATGGAAACCTGAGTCTTGGAGTTCTCCTTGAATAGCAGTGAGGAGCTGGGTTTATTTATTTATTTGTTTGTTTTCACCTCTATTCCTGTCTACATGATTGGAATCATACAGTGCTGTGACAAAGTTTGGCAGAGATGTCACACAGTTTGTGCATGACATTGAAAGATAGACTGTCTTTTGTCTTCTTTGTCCCTCATCCGACTATCAGAACAGGCAGTATCCTGTGCAGTACTGCAGTCTCTCTGCTTTCATTTTCTTCTCTTTCATTCGTCTGTTCTGGAACCAGATTTTCACCTGTCTGGATCAGCAAAGAACAGAATACAAACGTGCTTTTACCATTTGATTTCTTACTTACGTACTTTAATTACTTTATTGTAAAACAAAAGCCTGCAGAAACACATCAAAGTGTAAGATGCAGAATACATTATGAGCAAAACATAATGCTGCTGTTTGTCTTCAATATATCATAGAGAATATTCATGGGGGTGCATGTGCATAATGGTCATTGCCAACATTTTTGAGTGGTTATGTCTACAACATAAACACATGCCAAATTAATATGATTTTATATTACTTTCATAATTCATAATGTGACTAATCCTTTGGTCTACAAAAAGTCAGAAAAATGTTGATGCCCATCAAAGGCCCACAATAACATCTTCAAACATCTGGTCAACAGTCAAAAGCCCAAACATATTCAGTCTATAATGATATAAAACTGAAACAAGAAGCTGGAAATCTCCACAGAATGACTAACCAATTATGAAAATAGTTGTTCATTATATTCTGTCACTCAAATAATCAACTAATTGTTGTATGTTTAATTGTTAATTACATTAAGCTTTTCACTGTTGACTAAAAGATTATTATACGTTTTCTCCTTCCAGATTCAAAAACATGTAAACTTTTACCTGTCATGATCAAAAAACAACTATTAAAATTCCATGCTAATCATACTACCACATGTTCCATAGCACTTTGTTAACAAGTGGAACCAGACACCAGTAAGGTATTTGTGTTTTTACAAAGCACAGAGTACTTACTGAAAGTGCTTCACTGCAGCCTGAAGCTTAGGCGAAATAACACCTGGTATGGAGAGTAAAAATCCCCATACCACCATAACCACAATTTACCCTGATTTAACCCCAACTGGAACAAGGTTAGATGTGTTCCTTTGACCAGATGTAACTGTGCTCCTGTGTCAAGGCAGCTTGTATTTTACAGCTCTTTCATATCTGAGTCAGTGAATCAAAACTGGGGTCTGGTCCTGACCTATATTTTTAACAATGCAACATATACCTTTTATTTATATCAAATTAAAGAAATATTGCAACATGCATGTACCGATCTGTCAGGCGCAGAAGGCGGGACAGCTGCATGCGTCTTTCCTTGTTGATGTAAATGTTGAATAGAAACTCTCTCTCTAGCTCTCTGATCTGCTGTTTGGTGTAAGGACAACGCTTCTTCCTTCCCACACAGGGTGCTGCTGGATAGATAGATAGATAGATAGATAGATAGATAATTTAATATCACACTGATTAGGAGGCTATTTTTCAAATCTTTCCAGGTAGAAAGTGCCAAATAGTCTGGGTGGGGCTGTTAGGATGGTCAAACTATCTCTTCAAAACATCCAACAGAGATGAGCTACAACTGTTAAATTGGCCTGCAAAAATCAAACACATGTGAATCAGAGTTGAATTTAATGAATTTTAAGTTAATTTAAAGTGAATGTCAAGGTCTAAGTCGAAACAGTGAGTTCAAGAATTTAACATAAACTTCATGTGAGTCAAATTTATGCTCTCCTCACAAAATGTTCACATTTGTTTGCAAAACTATGCTTATTTGGGCCCACATGCATGGTTACCAAATGACTGTTTGTTATTTCAGCAGCTAAACACTATCAGTTGGGCCTGCATCTCAAATTGCTAACAAATGGAGGGAAATAAATAAATAATCATAATTACCAGCGCTGTTTGTTAGGAATCATTCACAAACATAAAACAGACCGATATCTGAGGAAATTATTATATAATATGTAGCCTATAAACATCAGCATAGGCCTACGACAACCTACGATGTGGCTTTTCTATTTGAGACAGATTATGTTGTTATATTGGGGCCATTAAATAAGCTAAGTCCCTTCAGTTTTAGACATCTGGGCTACAAGAAAAGTGCACCATTTCTATTTTTGTTAATTGTTATGTTATATTCCTGTACCACGTCTATTTTTAGCCTAGACAACGGTTTATTAATGACCGTTCATTGCTGCCCAGCCTGGGCCTATCCTGGCTCTTGACAGCAATTTACGTGCCAAGAGGTTGAGTCGGTTTTTGTAACATTAGAGTAGACTCTATGGAGTCCCTGTAGCCTCGTATAGCCTAATATGTTTATTGAAACATGTAGGTATCAAATAGGCTATATCAAGTTATCAGTTGGACAAATCTCTGGTGAGCTTGTCTGCAAGACACCCCACGTGGGGTGTTGATGACTCCAGAAACTCTTGGATTTTTCAGAGGTCTCCGCGTGGTCTCATTTAGAAGTTAAACTACGGTATTTAATTGGCTACGCTATTGTGTGACTTACTCGGGACATAGTCTCCCCCACTGCCGCTGGAGAAAGGCGCATCCTCCTCGTCCTCCTTCCCAGCCTGGGGTGACTCTGACCCCGCCCTCACCTCGTCGCTCTCCCCGCTTTGACAGCTCGTCCACTCGGCCCGATTCTCCTGTTGGCTCCCATGTGTAATCTCCGCTTTCGGGTCCACTCCCTCTTCTCCAAATTCGAGAAACTGGTCGAAAGCCGGCGGCAGGAGTATGTTCCGCTCTGCCGAGAAGAGACGTTGTGAGTCTGGATTGAACTCTGCAGAGGAAGCTCCGCCAAACGCACGTGCGTAAAGACGGGGACGAGAGGCGCCGTAAACCGCAGCGCCATACAGAAAGCAGTCCTCACTGGTATTTAATACCGTCTCCGACGGGGATGGTAAGCCCTGGCGATAAGCAGCTTTACCCGGCAAGTTGAAGCAGGCTGGCGGCGGATGGGTGATGCCCCTGTTCGCCTGGTAGAGGGTCCATTTCCAGGGAGGAGGATACTGCTCATAGTAGCAGCAGCCTCGGGACTCCGACAGTCTGCTCGCTGTAGCGGTGCTGGGGTCCAGCAGAGCGGTGCCATTCTCCGTTAAAAACGGTGAAGCGATGGAGCCAAAGTCAGACTTTGACGGACAGGTGCAGCTCGGTAAATACATGGAAAATTAAAATAGGCCTTCTTTAAATTTGAACAGGCTGTGGTTTGGACAGTGACTTAACAAAACCTAGAAATTTCATTAGTAGGGTAGGCCCTATGTCTACCCCTTTGTCTTTTTCCACATTGGGCACAGCAAATTTGTTACCTCATAGCCCTAAATGTAGCAAACATAATCAATATAAAGTCAGTATAAACCAAGCTAAGTTAAAGTCACCAACAGAAATATAATATAAATAATACGCCTGTCTCCACACCTCTTCATTACCCCCAAGACCACAATGAAACTGCCTCTCAAAGTCCTTTGGAAAGTGAGGAAAACTAGTCTTTGACTTTGAGCCTGGGTCTGCTGAGTACAATTAACTTACTAACTACAGTGCAGGCTGGGCTGCACATTTTTGCAGTCAGACCAGCCCCAAACACACACACACACACACACACACACACACACACACACACACACACACACACACACAAACTACTAACAAGCCTTTTTGGCATTCTGTATAAATCATAAATACATTGCCAGGAGGTGAAATTTAAACCTATAGGGAGTGTTGTCTGTAGCCTATAATAAAAATCAGTTTTTCAACCACAAAGAAAAACATTCCTTTTGCATGCATATTGATTCTTTACGCATGTGTGAGGGTCATAAGACTTTTGGATATTTTGACTTGTTAAACTATACCAGATGTTTAAAGCAAATTTCTTCAAATTTTCCTGGAAAAGGAAGGAGCATCAACAAGTTTTGCCGGATGCAGAAATCAAAAGACCATTCAGGACATTCATGAGGGAGGATTTAGTTGGGGCTAAAAGTATTTGGTTAAAACCCAGAAATGTTTGAATCGTCTGTGATTGTCCATTTTTGTCCAGTTAAAGGAAAACAAATCAGCAATTCACCTAAGATGGGAGAATGAAAGCTGCTTGTAGTCTGTATTGTTTCTTTTCGTCTTTCTTTACTGAAATATTGGGGCTTAATGATTGACTTGTTGTAACAAGAAACCACAACTTTATATACAGAATATAGGCATGTATAAAGGTGCATAGCGTCAAATTTAGGTAAAATATGTTATGTAAACAATTTCTCCCTTCAAACACATGGTTTTAAGGCTCAATTACTATATTATGATATTTTGCTGACAAATGTGTTTTGTGACAGTATTGAACATCATCAATTTGCATACCAAATGATTAAAAAGGTTTTTCCTGCTGTGTTGTTTATTATTAATCTTCCTGGTAATGTACGCAATGCCTTACTGATTGGAAGACAAATGGTTGCTATGTCTTCACAGTGTAGTCCTGTTTACAATATGATCAGTATTATTGCTAGTAATAGAAACCTATGGTAACAATGGTATAGTAGTTGTAGTAGCAGTAGATATAGTAACAGTATCACACAGCAGCAGCATAGCGGAGCAGAAGTAAATATGTTTCCCTACAACTGGTGGTGTATAAGCTGGTAGTAAGAGTATTCGTAGCAGACAATTTGGCCAGCAGTAGTATTAACAGGGCTTCCATCTTAAACCTTATGCTGGTGAGAGCAGAGAAAAAGCAGAGTGTGAGGGAATGCCACGGAGGTTTGGCTTGCAGGTTGATTATCTTTCTGTCAGAGTGACTGCCGACAGGAGAGGCCTTATAGGAGATGTCAACACAGACGGGTACACACCATTGTCATGAAATATAATGCAAATTGTCAGCATGTATGTAAGTGTTACACGATAATCAGGTTCTACAGTATAAATAACAAACATTCTCCTGCCGACCAAGAGGCCTGTTTCTCCCAAGACACTTTGACATTCCACAAAGCACAGGTGTAAATAATAAAATGGTGGCTGAATTTCAGGGTCTTGCTTCAGTTTCAGGGTCTTGCTGTTGTTCATCTCGGTCACACTACTAGGACACTTAAGAACAGAGCTAATGTTAATGTCAGTAATGCCTGTGATTTTCCTACTATGACAAGTCTGCTGTGAAAAATACAATAGTTGTTGTAGTTGACTGCTGATGTTTAGCTTTCATATGGTCTTGGATTCCTTAGGTGCTGGTCTGCCAAGCTTAAGACATCACTGTCATTGTTAAAAGATATGATTGGTCGGGTTTTTCTCACAACACAGGTGTTCACGCATGTTTCTCAGACCAACAAACTCTAGGTAACTGACTCCACAAACAGATTCTTATTCATGCCTTATAAGTAAGAGCAGTGCAGGGCTGTTGCAGCCAGAGTGAACTCAATGAACAAAACAGATGTAGACCTAAAATGTTCATTGCCTAAATTTAGGTCATCACATATCACAGGCAGATGGAAGTCCTTAAAGGAGCTGAAACAGGCTGCACTTGGAAAACCTTAGGCCCATAGTGGTGTATGGGGATTTTCCCATTCATTGCATAATAAATAATTTTGTCTAATTAAAAAACTATTTCCTTTTAATGTTCAGCACTAGGACATCCAAATGAAACACATTGTCTTAATGGAAAAGGCATCACTTTCAACCCATTTTCAACAACTCCTTTTCCTGTTTTTGATCTTACACTGAACATGTTATATGGTGAATTACAGGAGCACACCACTGTTTCTCTATTTAACAGAAAAGAACAGAACAGTATTGCCCTGCAGTAAACATGCTAATTGCTAGGCTATTGATTACATCCACCTCAATATGACAACCTAAAGCCTATAGTCATGTGGATTTGCTTGGTGTGTTGTAGGTTATGTTAGGTTATGTATGCTTAAATTAACATACCTGCAAAATTAGAGGAAAGGCAATAGCCTAGCCTACTATGGGATCAAAAAATGCCAGCCAATTACTTTCACTTTAGCTTTGTGTTTTTATGTTTGGTTACACAATGTTAACCAAAGAATGAATGAATGAATGTAGTGGCATTAAAGTAAAAACACCGGGGCTGTTTCTTGTTGTTGCATTTTATTATGCATCTAAATGGATGAACAGGCCGGAAGACATTAAGTGCAGATGGCCTCACCACACAATCAAACCTATTAGGAAATAACTAAATAGGCATGCAGCAAACCTGAATATTCAAGGCACACTCAAAATTATTTTCGGTGCCACTTGGGGGAAAGAGGTTGAGATCACTATCACCATCATTGTGTTCATTATTATTATCATCCTCATAATTGTTATTATTACTAGGCCACTAGTAGTAGTAGGCCTATAGGACACAACTGAACTCTCAAATGTGAGCTCCTGAAATCCACCATTTCCCTATTAAATTTAAAATCATATCAGTGTTTAAATCACCACCCATTACCCCCATCACTGCAAGATACCCTGTAAATAAATATATAATTGAGTAAATAATTTAAATTATGTAAATAGGGTGAAAAGACATTTGGTGCTCGTTATTTTTTCCCTTAATCCTTATTTAGGCATTGCTCTTAAAACGTATTATAGACATATAGAATTCCCTAGCTTTTTTAATTACTTGTTCTTGTTTAGTTTTTGTTCATTTAAACGATTTTACACATGTAGGCCCTGCAGAGGAAATGTGCGCTGAAGTGGGAACAGAAAAGTGCAGAAACATAAAAAGTAAGTAAAAAATAATCACATTTCGATAGGGACTTAATGTGAAGAATTAATAGCGACATAAACTGTGCTGGCCTATAGGTTTTTCAGCTGAATTCAGCAGGATAATGGAGGCTTACCTTGGATGAAAGACCGAGCAGCAGCAAATCCAGACCAACGTCACGGCTGTGCGTCGGCACGGACATCTGTCCTAAAGCAGGTGTCTCCTGTTTGGCAGACGCACACTGACTGCCAAGTCCAATAAATGGTCTAACTCCACAAACTAAAGTGTCTTTGAACCATGTGCCGTTCACTTGAAATGTCCAGCCAATAAAAGTGACACGGGGTTGAATGGAGCCATGCAGGAGGCCTTTCATCCAAAAAGACCGTGTGGATTAATAGGAGACAATATTAATGACTCTATAATATCGAACCATGGCTTTGGTAATGCAACACATGATTAGGCTATATCTAGTTGAGTCTAATAATACAAATGCATGTTAGAGATTTATAATTAAGGCTCCAAGGAAAAGCATAAGTAACAGATCTTTCATAACTTACTAATTTCTCCCCATTTTTCTGTTTCTTCGATTCTAGTTTTAATGAAGCAAGTCAAAGTTTACTTTTGCCACAATGTGGAACAAAACCTGCTAGCTATAGGCCCTAATGTTTTTTTTGAGTATCGAGTGCTAATCAACAAATTAATAAAGTAATAAAGACTTGCTAACAGTGCATTTTAAAAATACAAGGCTACAGACCTACGTCAATAAATAATCTTACTGCTCTGTTTAAAAAACAACACTTGAATAGACTATAAAATACAGTCTGTTTCAATCTCTTCTTTCATTAACAAAAAAATAAATAATACTCGCTTAAGTGCACATTTTGTTTTATTATATTTTATTTTTTTCAAATGATCTGATGTTTGTTTTTTATTTATTGTTTATTTGTTGTTTGTTGTTCTGTGACTTTGAAACTCACATTTGTCCCGCCACGCACGCAAACACACGTGTGTGTGTCTGTGTGTAGCCTACTTTGTGTGAGCGGGCTGCTGGAGAATTGTGGGAAATAAAGTCCCCACTGTTCAAGGGTTTAATTTATTAAGGGTTAATGAAACGGAAATAACATCAGCATCAGGATTACTCATCAATAATATACATCAACAGCATATCGCGTGTGTGTGCCCGTGTAAGAGAGAGAGAGGTGAGTGAGGGTGGTGATAGAGAGGGAGAGGGAGAAAGAGGAAGATGGAGAAAAAAAGAGAGAGTTTTATTAGGCCCATAACTCTTCAGACTCCAGAGGAAGCTGTAAGCATTAAAGCTGAAGGCCAAATCTCTGCACACTGCAGCCTAATCTGAAACAGCTCAGCTGGGAATTGAGAAAATGGTGCTAAATATTCAACCAGTAGATTCTACAGCTTCACAACATTTCCTACAAGGTGTGTGTTTTAAGGAGCTGAGCTGGGTCTCAATTTGTTTTGGTGTGTGACATTCAGCAGCCTCGTATTATTGTTATAATTATTTTGCAGAATAAGCCACTTTTACTAAAAGGAAAACTACAACATTATTCACTTATTGTAAATGTGTATCTGAGGTTCTGATATCTACAACATGTGTAGGGAGCATGTGGCCTCAAAAAGCTGAAAAGTGCCTCACCAGCTGTTGCTACCTGCAGAGAGGAAGAGAGGACATTGCTGTCAGAATAACCACTTCACAGCGTGTTTAGTTGTTGCCGTTTGGCTGGAAAGGAAATTGTTACGTTGCAGATATTTTAAAGGGTAATCTTTTAAATTAAAATACATGTTGGCACGATTATAATTCAATGTTAAATTAAAGATGTGATATCATCACAACTTACGATCTGATGTAGTATTCTCTGCCCCTCAGATCAGCTCACATTAAACTCACATAGCCTAATAAAATTACGACATCTGGTGGCGAGATTTTGACTCACACCTTAAAATGACAGCTGACCGTGGATATGTGCGGGAGATCCTTTTTAGGACTTTTCTTATTTGATGACTGGCTTTATATTATTCCACCTCTGTATTCTTGTTTGGAAGGCTGACCTTTCATCAGCCTATTTGACTTGTAAAATAAATGTAATGTTGGCTTTTAGTATTTCTTATTTTCTGTGAGTGGGCTGTTTATCATTTCATGATGTAGGCTACATATTCAATAACTGTTGTGGTCACTTATTATTTCAACACATTGAGTTTTCATTAATATATGTGATGATTAAGGTTAAGTAGCCTAGTAGCCAAGCCAAGGTAGAATAAATGCATCACGTGTGTGGCTCCTGTGCTTGAGGCAGTTTGGGGGAAATTGACACGAGACATTCAATAAACAAACAATAAAAATACGTTTTTTAAATACTTTTATTGACTAACCAAGTCAATAAGTTGTATAAATTGTGTCAAGCTGTTTCTGAATGCAGCCCTTGGTGAAAATCGCATGACTTCGCTCACGGACCCGAACAGACTACAACGCAAAGGGCTCTGGGAAAGAAATCAACCTCTGTTTCCGGGTCACTCATGAATTACATCCGTTACGTCCGTTACGTTTCCACGCCGCGCAAACTCGCCTGGCAGTTGAGATGATGTCAGTTCAGAAAGCGGCTGCTTGCTTGGTTCTGCGCTAGCTTGACCAAATGACCGGCTAACAGAAACACTTGAACACCAACTAATGTAAGTACTTCTTTAAATTAAACGCCGAACGAAGACGACCAAGCTTAACGACAGTGTCCTGCTGGTAACGTTAAGTTACTACTAGTCAGTTACGTTAGTGTTATTGTCACAGTTGCTAACTAACGTTAGCTGAACTCTGTAACGGTACAGCAGTGAACATATGTTGCACTTTAGGTATTATTTTGTTGAATTCACACCACATGTATGTGAAGTTAAAGCTTAAATTAAAGGACTAACGGCCTCCGTCTACCTGGTTATGTAGCGCTACTGGTGCGTTTGAAATATCCTTTGTTTTGTGGGGGCAGCTAACGATAGCCAAAGTTAACCTTCACTTCATTAGCTGGAAACGTGTTTATTTGTCTCGTGCAAAGGGCCAATGCCAAATAGTGAAATCACGTATTTGTCTGCAAACAGCTATATTATAAACATTATAAATGCGAGGTCAAAGCCAGTTAACGTTGTACCATTGGTATAGTTAAGTTTTTTTGTAGTGAGTATAACGTTACTGGGATTTTCCCATCCCAGCCTCATACTCAACCGTCCCAGAGCGACAACCCACTTAATAATGCACACAGTATGCATCTACATGTAACTGAGGTCATTCTGAAAGACTGCTTATGTGTTATCAGCATGTCAATTTATTATAAGCAACACAAGACATTAATAGCCAATGACATTTATAGCTGGAGAGACTGGACTGATTTCCTACTGTTTAGTGTTAATCGCCATCTAACCCAGATAGTTAAGAGCTACATTTAGCCTTAGATGTTATATGAATATAGTCCATGTAGCACAGGTTTATCAGCTTTCTTTTAAGAGTACAAGTTGCCATTACATTAATGGAGAGTTGAGGGTTATCAGTAGCAGTATTAACAATTACAATTTGAGCAATTCTATCACCATCAGTAATTCATTACAGAATATTATGAATTTAACAGTGACGACACAAAAAGCGGTCCACGTCTTATCAAGCACACTTAACCTTCTAAAACCATTGTCTAAATTAGGCTGTGTACTGTATTAGCTTAAATGCATGAGAAAGCATCCAGGAACTACTACTTCCACTACTGTACACACACACACAGTGGGCCTTTCTGAAACTGCTTGCTACTTCCTCTCCCTACCTGCTTAAAGTTCGTTTCATCTGCTGAAGCTGCAGTGCCACCTGGAGCGGCAGTAGCTTCTGGGGCAGGCTTATGAAAACACTGAGAGTGTAGTTTGAGGTTACTTTCGTTTCATATGTCCTTAAGTGATTCACATTAGTTAATTTAAATATCTCCAACCAACTGTGTTGTTGTTCCTTGGTAGGTGACGCCAGGTCACAGGCCACAGAAGCCCCAATGGTCCAAAAGTCATTGCCTTGCAACACAGACAGGGTGAATTTAAGAATGAAAGTGTGAATGTTCTGTCACAAAACAATGTTGTACGTATCAGCACGCTTTTTTAAGTGGATATACAGAAATCTTTGACTGTTCTAAGTGGGTATAAGGCGTATACCTGCATATCACCTAGACTAAACCACAGTCTTTACCTTTTTACTTCAAGCAATGTGCTGAAACTGTTGTTGCCAAGAGAGCCAACCATTCAAACTTGAATTACCTTAAAAAAAAAACCCAACAATTATCTCATTAAACATTTTGCTCATAGTCTTTAGAAGTTAAACACAATTTGATTGTAACCATATTATGCTGTCGAGGTGTACACTGTTGCCTTTCTTGCTGGTGTCTTCTTTAAAATGCATTGCTGGAGTGACGAGCCATGTGTTTAATTTAGCTACATGTGGTTAAGTTATCTGAAAAATTGAGTCATGTTCTGATTAAGTCAAATGTATGTCATCATAACCTTTGAGTAGATGTTGCCCTTTATCCAGATGGATAAAACGAGCTTTTTGCAGTGAGTTTGTATTGGCCGTGCAGAGTGAGCAGTTTTCGGTGCTGAATAGTTTTTTTTTAAATGAACTAAGTCCACTTTTCAGCAAGAGACCTACCCTGCAGTATGATATTTGTTGGTGTTGTGCAGTCCTATGTTTGATGTTGAGCAAAGATTTTCTCAGTAAATCTACAACAACGGCAACCATTGTATCCAATTATTCTAGTGGCAGCTTACTAAAGCCTGTGATGACGCAAGTGTTGTGTAAATGTTATGGGAGGGCTTAACTGTGGTGTTTAACACAAGTGTGTAACGGTAGGATCATACGCTTTGTTTACCTGTTGTTTAACTGAAACTTTCTGTTCCATAGTGACCCAAAGGAATCAAAAAGGACAATACTCTAATTTACAGATATGGGGGCCCTGATATCCAGATGGAAGGTAAGTGTTGTGGTGTCCGAACAATAATGCTGCGATGATGTGTTGACAAGAAATCCGCTTGACACTGTTCTTGATCATAAAAGTTTATTACATCAAGGAGTTCAGCATCAATTACAAGCTCTGCAGCAGCTTGGAGAGTGACCCAGCCCGATGGCTACTCTGTCTCTCTGTACATCAAACACAGCTTATATAGGACATGTTTAGGTATCTGCTAAATACCATATAAGGGTCAGAGTCTGCAATCTAAAACTCCAATCCATATAAGAGCAAAGTTCTATAGGATAAGTGTAGACATCTTGTTGGACACCAGATAAGGGTCTGAGCCTCCACATAACCACTGACCTCTACTCTCCCCTTAAAGGTCACTAATACTCTATCCAGCTGCTACAGTGCTATGTTAAACTGTTATGCGTCAAATGCACATATGTTATACACCACAGTGTGAACTGAATGAATGAAATAATCTCATTAAATACTCCTTTCTTTACATAGTTGAATGTGCTGACAACAAAATCACACACAAATTATCAATGGAAATCAAATTTATCAACCCATGGAGGTCTGGATTTGGAGTCGCACTCAAAATCAAAGTGGAAAACCACATTACAGGCTGATCCAACTTTGATGTGATGTCCTTAAAACAAGTCAATATGAGGCTCAGAAGTGTGTGTGGCTTCCACGTGCCTGTATGACCTCCCTACAACGCCTGGGCATGCTCCTGATGAGGTGGCGGATGGTCTCCTGAGGGATCTCCTCCCAGACCTGGACTAAAGCATCCGCCAACTCCTGGACAGTCTGTGGTGCAACGTGGCGTTGGTGGATGGAGCGAGACATGATGTCCCAGATGTGCTCAATTGGATTCAGGTCTGGAGAACAGTCAGGCCAGTCCATAGCATCAATGCCTTCATCTTGCAGGAACTGCTGACACACTCCAGCCACATGAGGTCTAGCATTGTCTTGCATTAGGAGGAACCCAGGGCCAACCGCACCAGCATATGGTCTCACAAGGGGTCTGAGGATCTCATCTCGGTACCTAATGGCAGTCAGGCTACCTCTGGCGAGCACATGGAGGGCTGTGCGGCCCCCAAAAGAAATGCCACCCCACGCCATTACTGACCCACCACCAAACCGGTCATGCTGGAGGATGTTGCAGCAGCAGAACGTTCTCCACGGCGTCTCCAGACTCTGTCACGTCTGTCACATGTGCTCAGTGTGAACCTGCTTTCATCTGTGAAGAGCACAGGGCGCCAGTGGCGAATTTGCCAATCTTGGTGTTCTCTGGCAAATGCCAAACGTCCTGCACGTGTTGGGCTGTAAGCACAACCCCCACCTGTGGACGTTGGGCCCTCATACCACCCTTATGGAGTCTGTTTCTGACCGTTTGAGCAGACACTTGCACATTTGTGGCCTGCTGGAGGTCATTTTGCAGGGCTTTGGCAGTGCTCCTCCTGCTCCTCCTTGCACAAAGACGGAGGTAGCGGTCCTGCTGCTGGGTTGTTGCCCTCCTACGGCCTCCTCCACGTCTCCTGATGTACTGGCCTGTCTCCTGGCAGCGCCTCCATGCTCTGGACATTACGCTGACAGACACAGCAAACCTTATTGCCGCAGCTTGCATTGATGTGCCATCCTGGATGAGCCGCACTGCCTGAGCCACTTGTGTGGGTTGTAGACTGTCTCATGCTACCACTGGAGTGAAAGCACCGCCAGCATTGAAAAGTGACCAAAACATCAGCCAGGAAGCATAGGAACTGAGAAGTGGTCTGTGGTCACCACCTGCAGAACCACTACTTTATTGGGGGTGTCTTGCTAATTGCCTATAATTTCCACCAGTTGTCTATTCCATTTGCACAACAGCATGTGAAACTGATTGTCAATCAGTGTTGCTTCCTAAGTGGACAGTTTGATTGACTTGGAGTTAAATTGTGTTGTTTAAGTGTACCCTTTATTTTTTTGAGCAGTATATTACATGGGGCCAAGTCATGCCTTAACCTGTATTAGTAAAATCTTAAAATCAATTCCAAAATATACAGGCAGTTGTTGTAGATAGATATAAAGCAATAAGACTCATCATCTACTCTTACCAGTCAAGTTTTTAAAACGGTAACATTTGAATAACAATAGTTAGACTGATAAGGTAGAGGCAGTAGCTCAGCCGTCAGGCTAGCAGATATCTGTGTTCTCTGGGAATCTTACAAGGTTGTCTTTTTTTTACACGAATTTACTGGCTTCACAGATTAGAGTACAACTCATGTATAGTAATTTTTTTTACAAGATTTCAATATGATGTAGCATTGGAGAATAAACATCAGATACATCTGTTGTTCTGGGTTAAGGCCAGCTAAAGATGACCTAATAGGGAAATCCATAGGCACTAAGGGGAAGACAGAAACATAAAAGGGACCAAAAGATGTTATCCTTTAGATTGATGTTGGCACTTGACGAGTTCACGTTGAATGTTTGCTGGCACTGTATCTCCTCGGTCGGGCTCAATAAACCATGCTACTAATTCTTCTTCAGTCTTAGAAACTTCTTCATTACACCTGGCTCATAATATTTCTTCAACAGGTACAAACATGTCAACATTTGGAAAAAATCACTCTTTTGAATGAGCCCTTGATGGTTCCTTTTTCTTTATGCTGACTGAGATAATACTGATGAGCATGAAAATGAGACAAATTCATGAGTCAACGGTGTAGACATTTAATATTTCTAAAATAGACCTACGTTACTTAAGGTGTAGTTAAATGGAAGCCATGTTACTGTAGGCTAATTATGTCACTTGAGAGGGGAGCAAATGCCAAGCTCACTGAAAATGACAGAATCTGAATTAAAATTGCCTTATTACAGTTTTAGTTAGTGGTTGTGAAATCAATTCATAAATGTCATACATAGGCCCTGTCAGAAGACATTCTGTTTATAGCAATGGCGTAAGTCTAGGGTGAGTTTCTCCACTATATCCTCATGCTAAAATCGACTATAAATCCTTTTTTACCAGGGTGGCATGCCCCAAGACCCCCATAGGGGATTCACATCTTTGACATCACAAGTTTGCATCCCAATAGCCCTCAACCCACTGAACCTTACACTTGAGCTAGATGAAATTCATATACTATTTTTAGACATACTAGAGAAGTCAAAGGGAGATAGAGGGAGGCAGAGAGAGACAGCAAGAGGGAGTGAGCAGTAGAAAGTTCAACCCTAGGTCTTTGCATGCATTCATTTTCCAGAAAGAGAGAGGAGGAAGTAAAAACAGGGATACACATAGGTATAGATGTATAGTATATCATGTATAGATGAGAGAGAATATGGTACACTACATTTGTTTTTATTTACATGTAGCTAATATATTTGATTGAACCAGGAGCCCCCTTTGTAAGTCAGAAGTATTCTGTGTTTACAGGAACGGTCGATTGTTTACTGACACATCAAATCAGTTCTGAATCTGTTGGCTGTCAGTGACTCTGAGAAGCCCAGTGTTAACTGTTCTGAATAACCTGATTGTGATTTTCTGATCTTTATCCTCAATCCAGACAAAGCCAACCACAGTTGAGCAGCTGGAGAACATTGACAAGGTACTGACTAAATATTGTCTGAAGTTATGTACTCGGACAATGTTTATAATACTGTTATAATGTTTATGGCATTTTTTTTTAGTTCATCATATTGAAGATATACTGTAATTAATTGGGGCCACACTGAACACGAGCAGGAATTGCACTTTTTAGTCAATAATGTTAGCAGCTGACATCAATAATCCTGTTTCATGAAAAAGGTCACTCTTTTTTTTGAAGATGGGATATGGTGTTTACTTGTGTCGACCTGAAACAGTAACTCATACATTAGTATCCCAGGTGAAATCAGAGCAAAGGGAACATAAAATTGCTTTCCTGGAAACTCACAGTTGATGAACTATAAATGTAACATCGGATTATTTGAGATTCTTTGCATTGTTTAAATATTACCTCCATGTTTCCCTTGTAGGAGATTAAAGAGCTGGAGGAGTTTAGAGCCAAAAACCAACGTCTGCAAAAGGTGAAGTCAGCAAAACATCCAAAACATGCAGTGATGTTTTTGAATCATAGTTTCTCTTTCCTCATCAGTGTGTTTGTGTGTATCTGTCGGCAGCTGTGGGTTGGCCGGTTGCTTCTCTACTCATCAGTCCTATACCTGTTGATCTCTTTGATTGTGTACTGTCTCTACCTACCTGAACAATGGCTGCAGAGAATATCCATGGCTCTGCCATTCTTCATATACCCTGTGCTGTGAGTGCTCACATTGTTTTACAATATCCCTCACAACCCTCAGTACAGACGTGCAATTTTTAATCTGGTACATCCTTGTATGCACAGTGTTTTTGCCTTTTTATTGTTTTCCATGAACTTGATAAGCTGTAAAGTGAGCAAAGAAAAGAGCTTGTGTAATCTGAAGTTGATTATTAAAAACAACTTCATCTCTCTTTTTCTTGCTTTTCTTTTTCTTTCTCATCATCAGGGTCTGGTTCATCAGGAAGTTTTTGGTCTTCCTCTTTTCCAAACGCACTGAGAGAAACAGTAAGTTGTCTATCATTCCCTCTCTGTCCATCTATCTTTGCAACTAACGCATCTTTTTCAGGCTTTTGTTGATTTTAATAGCTTATGAAACTATTGATGTTATAGCCTGCCCTATAGAGGCAAAGAGCTGCGCAGACATTTGTGTTACCAACAACTACAAGATATTTTAAACTGTACAACTGAAAATATAGCTTGATAATATTGTAAGCACAATAGCTTAATGATAGGCTAAGTATACACCACTTTCAAATGTGTTTTACCTAGTATATTTCATTAGATGGATTCTGATTTAAGATAAAGTCAAGTGACTAAAGTTATTTCTGCTTCTTTTTTCAGATGATAAACTAGAAGATTTAAAGGCTTCCAAAAAAAAGATTGTAAGTGTCCAACTCTTTGCAGCTCACATTTCATTTATGTGTGTTCTACTGGTTTGTTTAAAGAGAGCTGGTGCAATGCAATGCAAAGGTTTGTACTTGTCAACGTTACGACTCGTCAAAAAAGAATTGCTGCTCAGTCGTTGCAGTTGCCTCCTAAATTAAATTTTTTGTTTTGTTGTTAACAAGCTTCGAAAACGGCAACTTTTAGGTCTGCTCTTTAGAGTAGAGTCTCTTCTCAAAAGTTTGGTATTGCTACTTTGAGATAAATTATTCTAGCTTATTCCCAGCACTCCTTTGTGTTTTAACTAAAGGACCACAATTCAATATGCATGTTAAAACAGAAGTTTCTGTGTTTTGTGTTTACAGCTTGAGGAAGTGATGGAAACAGAGACATACAAAAACGCCAAACTCATCCTGGAACGCTTTGACCCCGAAGCTAAGAAGAAAGCTGTGAGTTCTGATGTCTGTTCTTTTGCTTTATCTGTGTTTGTTTAGTTTATCTTTATTGTGACTCCATTTTTTAAAATGTTGATTTTGTTTACTGTTATGTTATAGGAGCTGGAGTCGACTCCAGTGCGTCCTCAAATGACTCCCAGACCAGGACAAGGTATAACATGCATCAATACACAACAAAAAGATTGCATTTAAAGTTGAGTGGTGTTTGACGGCGCTCATGCCAGAGCAACAAGTTAGAGCAAGTTGAGAAACAAGAGCTACAAAAAGGATCCCCTGTCACGCAATGATTGAAGAATAGATGCATCCAATTCTGAAAAAAACAAACAGTGATGATTTTCTCTCCTCCTGTGCAGAGATTCGACAGAGAGGGGTGACAATGAGACCCATGCCGATGGGCACCCCGACTGCAATGGCAATGACTCCCTTGGGAGCAAGGCCTGCATTGGGACCAGGGGGCACACCTGTGGGTAAGGGGCCGCACAGAGATACTTAACATCAAGTGTGAGGAAGTGTCATGGTTTGTAAGTGCATCAACTTTGGTGCTGGGTCCACACAGCACCGTGAGTGAACAGTGAGAGCTTTTCAATTTTTTCACCAGTCAAGTCTGTCTGTCTATGCAGATCTCAGGCATCCAGGTCATGGGCTAAGTCAAAGGTAACTGGAATGAACAGCAAGTCCAGTTGCCTTTCACTTAGTTCTTTTATACATCTGTCTGGTCTTTATCCCATGTTGCTCTCCCTACAGAACCTGTTCCTCTCTCAGCTCCAGGAGGACCTCCAGAGAGATCTGCCATGTCTGCCTCTTTCCTCCAGGGGGCCGTACCCAGGACCCCCTGCTCCCCTATACCAGGTGTAGGTAAGTTGTAAAGGCTTTGAGTGCATATTGGCATAAACGCTTCTGTGCAAGAGAAAAGACACATCTCTGTAGCTGGTTTCTGCATTTGAGTTTGGGTTTTGTATTTCTGAATGTAAAAGTGTGTGTGTGTATTAATTTCCATGTATGTGAACTGTTTTTACAGGCATGCACCCACCAGGTCCTCCATTAGCAAGACCCGTTCTGCCCAAAGACAGGGGAGCTGTGGACCGAGTCATTGAGTACCTGGTAGGGGATGGACCACAGAACAGGTGAAGATGCTTTTTTTTTCTTTTGGTTTTAGATGTAAACCTACTGTGAAAGTAACTTGCAACTTACTACCAAACTCACAATCTCATTTAGCAGTTTATTCACAAGCGGGTGGTCATTTTTTAGTGGGAAGTAATAGCAGCAGTAGATTAACTTGTAGATGAAGACGTGTTGATGTCGCCACCTACTGGCAAAGTAAGGAATAGCTGCAACAGAAACTGGGAAAAGGAAAAAAAGTGGCTGGCTCATTGCCAGCGTGTGGCGCAAGTGATATAATTTCAGAAGCATTTAATGATCTTTCCTATAGATGGCACAACTACACCCCTAGTTTCTTAGTAAGCTGCACCTAATCAGCTATACATTTACGTGATTAAAGTGCATGCTAATGGGTACAGGTCTCCTGGGGTCATCAAAAATCCCTCAGGTAACAGGTAATCACTGACGGAATTAGACAAGGCACGTTAATGGAAACATTTTTTTATCAGTTTACTCCTAGAATGCCTGAACACCACAAAATTATTATATCTAACAGTGTCTTCCCCCTCCCTCTGTCGCTCCTTCCTTCCTGTAGATACGCTTTGATCTGCCAACAGTGCTTTTCTCATAACGGCATGGCTCTGAAAGAAGAGTTTGAATATCTAGGTAAGAACAGAAACACACTACTGCATTTAATGAGAAGGGCAAATCTCAATTAAGAGAAAACATAATGTGAGTGAGCTTTTGATATTGTAAACCTGAAGGAAGTTGTTATAATTCAAATAGGAATTAATAACCAGTTGATGCAGAGTTTATGAAATGATACAATCTCTCCTTCTCATTCCCTTTCTTGTTTTATTTCTCCGTCCTTCTTCCTGTCTTTAACCCCTCAGCGTTCCGTTGTGCGTACTGCTACTTTCTGAATCCGGCCAGGAAGACACGCCCTCAGGCTCCCCGGCTTCCAGAGTTCAGCTACGAGAGGAGGCTGCGAGCTGAATCTCCTTCCCCTGGACCAACACCACGTTCTGGGACAGACACAGAGGAGAGCCCACTTCCTTCTGGAGGTACTGGAAAAACACAAACACAAACAAGCTGCAAGCAAGACCAACCGAGACTGGGTCTCCTAAGGTCTGAATTGAGAACACACTGAAAGGGGTTTGTGTTACAGCAGAGAGCAACTCTGAAGCAAGTCCTAATTATGACGAATGCTAATCCTGTTGACAAATACAGTGCTGATTCATACACACTGGAAGAACAGTCAGACATTGACTGAAGAAACATCTGAGATCAGACAAAAGTGAATTTGGTCTGAAACAGAGACAAGAAGGGAATTGCAAAAATTGGCTAAGACTGGAAACCAAGACACTGAACATGTGTACTACACCTCTGAAAGAGACCTGCACACACACATACTCTCATACTCACAGCGTTATGTGCATCATGTTACTTACTCCATGTCCTAACCACCAGTGTTAAATGCTTCTTAGTTCAGTGCTGTTATGATTGATTCTTTCCCTAACTTTAATGATGTCAGTTTTTATTATTCTTTTGTAGTTGTTATTGAGCAATGAGCCCGCAGAGGTGAGGCAACACCACCACCTTCAAATATCACCATCCTCTTTGCTGCAAGAAGCAACATAGTGCAAAAAGTAATTAGAAAATTGAGAAACACAACTGGCATAATCTTTGCCACATACAATCAGTTGCAAAATTTAATCCAGACATGATTCTTTCTAGTTACAGACAACCATCTTGTCACTGTGGTGCAACACAATTCAACTAGTAAAGAACATGTTTTTTACTCTGATCTGAACTATTGCAGGGTGGCTGTCTTACTAGTTAAATACTATATGTCTTACCCAAAGTACTAGTTAGATTGAATCATTGGAAATTGATTCTGTGCATGTGGCAGTGAAGTAAAACAGACCCGTGAAACTGCAAACATCACAATTTGGTTCAACAGATTCTGCATTCATAGAAGTTCCTCAGCACATTTCCTTTGTCAGACCTGTGTTGCATTATAGTGACCAGTGGGTTTAATGGTGTGATCTTGCCTCTAGCCAAGGCTCCAGCTCCGTGGAATTTGGTCCACAGTTTCCAGATCCAGCAGAGTCCAAAGAACCCTCAGAACCGACCTCTGCAGAGTCCAGGTTTCCCTCCTCTCCCTGCACTGTCTGAGATTAATTTGAACTGATCTGATAGCTTTGATTACTTCAGAATGGGTCCATTTTCTTTGCTGTAGAATCAATAACATTGTAGAACTCAGACCAGTGCCTATCCCTAATTGCTACCTGTAATCGTACTAAAACAACTTTGGGTTTTAGCTGTTATTGGGTGTCTATACTAGACCTGGGTCAAATACAGTTTACAAATACATTTTATTCTATTTGGAGAATAAAAATTCATCCTGCAAAGTTAAAAATGAAGTCACACAAACGCTTGTGAAATTTGTATTCTTTGATTAACATCTAATCTCGTAGTGTTTGAGTTGTAAACATTTGGTGACGTATGAATTTAAGCAAATTAATAGTACACTTGTTTGACCCAGATCTGGTCTTCACTGTGTGTCCAGAATATTTAGACAAACTTCTTCATTGAGTGATTGATTTACTCTCCAATCTACATCATATATGTCTAAATTGTCTCAAAAAAACCAAACATTTTCTTTTTGTCATTTGCATTTACGTAAAAAAGAGATCAGAGGTGGTGTCTGGCCATATCGCAAAAAAGAAGATTGTCAGATATTTTGTGCATAAAGTGTCATTTCATGTCTGGTTATTTAATCCTCTTTTTTACCAGATGTATTCTGTTAGGGGAGCTGTGGTGATTTCAATATAAGAGTTCCGATTCGTGTTTTTAATCCTACTCTTAGCACATTTAACCCAATCCCAGATGAAACTATTGCTGCTGTGCAGCAGTGAGTCGGGGCCAGGCACTTTGAGGAGGATGAAGAAGATGGAGGAAGAGGAGAAACCAAATTTATCGTTAAAAAATTTAAGGCCCATGTCTCTTAATTCACATAGCACAATGCCTGAGTATAAGATGTTCGTTCTGGATCACATAGGTCTTTAACTCAAGCTTTGCCACCAATGGCATACTGTGATCAGGTGGCTTCAACTAAGACTTACCCAACCATGAGGCTAACAGCTGTCCATGCAAGTAAAGACAGATTTCAAAGTAGTGTCAAAAATTCAGCAATACCAAACAGGACAAAATTCTGAGAATTTGTGTTCTTCTGTAATTTATTTTTACAAAGATTGAATAGTCCATAAGTTTCCATTGACTACAATATGATAGGATTCAAAATACTGTTAAAAAAAAAAATTGTTTTTTGGGATACAGTTTGGAAATTTTCCACACTAAATCTATCATGACGTCAAAAAATAAAAATTTTCTCTCATAAACATTAAAGATTTATTTTGCTAGAATGTACGTTTGCTGTAAAACATTTTGATACACTGTGGACTAAATTTTTGATCATTCAAAAATCTGGCTGGAATAGTAAGATGCAGTGTGGCAAGTTTGGTGTCAATTGACCAAAAAATGTGGGAGTGGGAGACAAATGTGCCTGTTTTTTTGTTGTTTTTTGAGAAGAACAGAGTGATGGACTGGATAATTCCTGCTAACTCGAAGCATCTGAACATTTCTGCTCAATGGGGCCTACATTTTTGGTAAAAGTTGCAAAGTGGTAGCAAATACGACTGATTTGTTATGTGTATGTTTTCAACTTTAGACGTTGCTGTAGTACCTCCATCAGGACTATTGGCCTACAATGCCAGTTGAGAAAGTCTGGCATAGGACTGGACCTAAAGTTTATTTTCAGGCATTGGAGGATAGTTTTCCACGTAGAAAGAAGAATAAAAATAATAACATTGGCAAATCCAAGAGGGTCTGGCACAGGGCTCCAGACTCATTTGTTTCACCTTCATCCCAAAACTGTCCCGAAGAACAATTTGAACCGTCCTGAAGTTAATATAAAGCGTCCCAAAATCAAAATGTTGTTTCTTTACTTTATTATTATCCTCTGTAGTTAGTGACATAATAAATGATGATAAAATAAATAGCACTTATTTTGTTCGATTCAAACAAAAATATTTAAAAACAAAACTGAAAAGTTATCTGTTGGGGCACCTTTTTATCTCGATGATAAAGGATTTAATTGTAATTCAGTTATAAACTCCTGGACTGTGTTTCAGCAGGTTTTCTGCTCATGGTCAAAATGTTCTGCACATTCAGAATCTCTCCCACATATCTGTGTTCTCTGACATGTCCAGAAAAAAATTGTAATACTGAGATTAACATCATTATTTAATGAGAATTCATAATATTAAGTATTAATATATTAAGTCTACCTCACCTATACTCTGCTGTGCAAACCTTCGGACTGTACTGAATGAGACAAGTGCGCTGCACTTCATCGGTGGTACGAACCGAAACTTATACTTGTGATTAGGCAGAAATCTCAGCACAAATCCACATGTTAACTTCTGCAGCTCCAATAAAGTGCAGCTCGCAGTCCCAAACAGAGCCAGATTGTGCTTCAGGTTTTAGATGTTTATAATGCAAAACTCTGCCAGCGAGTCTGCTGGCTGCATCTCGGCACGCGCAGGGGCTGGGGTTACTTTATCACTCTGTATACTGAGTTGCATTCGCTTGGTGGAGATGATTCTCGCCGCTAGTCGATGTTATCAGAATATAGATTTGTTTTTCACTGTGTGAGAAGATTGATGTGTGGCGCTTAACGCATTAGCCTACACAGCATGATTGAGAGGTCAGCAAGCTGTTTGTGACTGAGAGGATAGATGGACCTGTACTGCGGGGACAGGTGAGCTGCCAGCCAGTGATAGTGACTATAGTAACAGCATGAGAAGATGCTCTCCGTTGTAGTCGGCGCTCGGTCGGTTCAGTTTGTCATTTGCTAAGTGACAGTAATAATAAATACACACACAATGCCTTTCGTCCCTGAGGTGTCCCTGAGAATATTTCACTTCTTCCCAAAAACATTTTCTATCGTCCCCAGGACGACAGGACGCCGTTAGTCTCGAGCCCTGGTCTGGCAGCATGTGCTAATTAGAGTGCCCAGTGCTTCTTTTTTATGTACATGTTGTTCCATGTGTACAGGTGACTTACAGGTATATACTACTCTATGCTTCTGTTTCCAGATATTTTCAGTACAGCAAGTGTGTCATGTGATTATTTTACAGAATATTCTCATCTATTACAAGCCACCTCCTGTAATTGGACAGTGTGGTCCACAACAAAGAGTTTAGTAATGGGAGAGCAGTGCAGCAGTTTTAGTTGCCAATCTGCTCCTGGACTATTAATCCTGTCTGAATGGGGCTCCAAGTCATTTTTTTCTATGTAAGGGAAGAATCTTAAAGCGTGCGAATGATGGTGCATTTAGATTGTGAGTCCTGTTTGATTTTTAAATCCGCAGTGTAAAATACTAATGATTATATTAGAAGCTACGAAAATGTAGCTATGTTTATACATGTGAATATGTGTGAACACCTGAGCCTCTGGCATTGATTTTGATGAAAGGGCAGGTTGTTGGATGGGAGGAGGGGGATTTTAAGAGACGTTAGTAAAGCCTCTTATGTTCTCTGCTTCTACCCTCTTTGTTATTCAGTCAACTCTTGTTTAACTTCTGTTAACCCTAACAAAGGGAATGGTGTTCATTTTCTCTGATTACCACTGATTTGAACTCCCACAAACCAATCATTTGTTCTATTACAAACTTCACACTATCTTAGCTGCTCCTTCTTTCTCTCACCCTTCCCTGTGGTTCTGTCATTTCTCTTACTGGTTATATACACAACTTACTTACACGTGTTCTCCTCAGATGAGAGAGAGCTGGGGGAAGACGCAGGACCCACTAAAGAAGAAGAGAGTGAGAGCCAATCAAAGGAGCAGCTGCTGCAGAAGCATGAGCAGGAGGAGGAGGAAGAAGAAGAAGAAAAATGGTTCAGGAAGAGGAGGGGGCATCAGAGCAGAGTCACAGTGCCCCCCTGTGAGACAGAATCTCAGCCATCATAGTTGCAGATAGTCCAAAAGAGGACCAGGGATGTCTAATCATTCTGTCCAAAGAAAAGGTGTTTGTACTGGCCATGATAGACAGGTGGCATTTTAAAGCAATATAGGTGGAGAAGGATTGACATCAACAGTAGTTTAATGCTATCTTTCTTCCTTGCAGCCAAAAACTCAGTTTCACATGCGTTTCAGTTTGCAGCTTTTAATAGTTTTTTTTTGTTGTTGTTGTTGTTGTTTAAATCCAACAATTTGTCACCATACCATCGTACTTAGACAAAGCACGTAGAGGAGATGATGTAGATGCTGTGCTTGCTAGATGGTGTGTGTTCTTATTTTAAAAAAACGTATTGCAGTAGGATGATCTAAATTATTATGTTAGTCATATTTGATCAAATTGTCCAACGATATTGCCTAAAATGATGCCAACATATCATGGCCTTAACAGTTGGATTGGTTGACTGGGAAGTGATGATTGTAACTTTAAACTTAAGACTGTTCTCGATGGGGTAGTTGGCTGCTGATTATACTTTGTATGCGGTAACTGACATAGTTAATTTTTCAGTATTACATGAGATTATACTATTGTAGTTATTTTAGGTTTGAAGTAACTGGCTGCAGTATGATTTGTTGATAAAAAGGGTCAAAACTGCTGGTTCACAAATGGTTTGTCCTCGGATGCTGCATAAATCTAAATTCCTTCACTGACCCTGACCCCTGTCTGTATATCTTGCTAAATATCACACTTATTATTATGCATAGTGAGTTATAATACATACAAGTGTTATATTCTTTTGTTGGGTAGTGTACAAAAACATCCTACTAAGCTCTGAGAAAACAAAAGGAATTCAACAAGTGCATCTTAAAACAAACCTGTTGTGAATCGGGACATTGTTATTTTTTTTTACAGTATATGCATACAGGAGTGCATTAAGGCTACTGCTATGGCTTTCTTCATCTCCTGTTTTTAATCCCACATACAAGTTCTTTGCCTAGTGATGAAACATCTGGGATGAATTTGTTATAGTCAGATTTGACTAAACACTGCTGCTTGTACACATTTTATCCTGCCGAAATAATTACGTTGTTTTTAAAGATGTTTTAGGAGTGAGCTACACTCTGATCTACAAGGAGCAAAGGTTCTGAAGTTGTAGGCCAAAATAGAGGAATAGACTAGGGTGTACAACCGTAATTATATCCCCAGTAAATGGATGACATTAACCAGAGAAAGCAGCTGCTGTAAATCTTAGTAAATCTTATTCATTGACTGTTGACCATTCATGCCTTTGTTTCTTTGTTGGTGACTTTATGTGGGCCAACTTCTGTCAGCGGCAAATTGTTTTCACTAATGTTAAATGCCCCACCTATGGTTGCAGTTACCCAGAACACTGTGCGCACTACCCAATAACTGAACTCAGATCAGCCTTCTGTGGCGATCTGGTACAGCAGAAAATGTGCGTTTTGAGCGGAGGCAGAAGCATTTTTGTTACTCAGCTATTTAATAACCCTGTTGCTTTGTCTGTGCTCTACACGGATAGAAACCAGATTCATCAGGTCTGGAAAAGTACTTACTAAAGACTAAAGTCTCCAAATAGTTTACAGAAATAAGTAGACGTTTTACGTACTCAAGCTTTTTTTGCAGAATGGGAAAAGTGAACCTGTGCATTTTAATTCAGCTGTTTTTCTTTGAGATGTGGCCTGTCAACTTAATCTAATTTATTACTTGAGGGATAGCATAGGTGTTAATGAACTATGCTAACAACAAAGCAATTTCTGAGTAAACCGAACCAATAAACATTTAGCAGGTGAGAAAAACAGCCTGGAGCAAAAACTGCCAATGTATCTCTATCTTGTTGTTGCCAATCATAGTTCTCAATAGGATTATCATTTGCACTGTTTTATCTGTATTTCCTGACACCATTTGCACAGAATTTTTCTTTGTATTTATTTGGCCATATTGTGTTTTAATGTGTTGTTCAGGTATTGCGGCACCGTTTGGTTTTAAACATTTAGAGGCTTAATCTGTAAATGCCATGGTTCTGTCACAACTATTTAAAACGAGGTCTGATTTAGGTCCCGCAGCCTGCGAGTTTGCTGCAGATTAGCATTTGTTAATCAAATGTTTTTCAAGTGTTTTCTTGTTTGTGCTTACATTGATTTTAAGAGTTGTACATATGTGCACTCACAGTAGGAACCTGCTGTAATCATAATGTGTGCTTTGTTTGCTACTGATATTTTCATTAGGTTATAGTGTAATCTTCCCCATGTCTAACTACTGTTACAGCTACATCAAAATTAAGGAGGTTCATTTTGTAAGCACTAGCACCTAGTGTGTTAATAACAGTTTATTCTGTTATTAAATGGAAACAGAAGAAATAGTGTCTATGCAAATGTAAATATGTTGTATCACCTGTGTTGTACAGGTCTGATCCTAGAAACACACTCTGACTCAGTGGGTTAAATAATATTGAGGGGACACATGAAGTTCTATTTAATACCCTACCTTATCTCTGTGCGTTTGTTGTTGTTGACCTCAAAACATCCCAGAATAATTTGGCTGTAATGGTTTGGGCTTGCCTTCTTAATCTATACATGGTAGCAAAAGTGCTATTGGACAAACCTTTGTTGAATGTTGAAATGAGACCATGTAATGAATTTACAGTTGGCTCTCTCCATGCCTTGACCACAGCTTTACAATTTGATTTTGTCCTGTTGTTTACCTCCACCAGGCAGCTGTGTTTCCAGAAGCTGCAAAATGTAGCGTCATGGTACCGTACCAGCTCACTGAGTTGTTTAGTTGGATGGTACCAGAGTTAACGAGCTTTTTATCTCCCATTAATACCTGCTGGTGATGAATATATGGTATAAAATTCATGAAGCTGTCACTTCTAAAACTTCTAAGATCCTCAACATGTTTTCTCACTCACTGACACATGTAATACCTGTTTACTTTGTATTTGTAGTTTTGTTTTTCTCTGCTAGACTTATCACTTAGTTTTTTGCCAACGCTGGTTCTCATTAAGTGTGCGCATGGCACGCCTATTAAATGTTTTTCAACAACTAAAGAAAGTTTCTGTTGTGGTTCTTGCATGCTGTCCATGTGTACTTCACATATCTTTAGTTAAACTATCTGCAAGGCCAGACACCACTAGGGTGAGAACATCTTTGCTTATTCGTGATTTGGGTGAACTTGTGGATTTCTCAGTCTAAGCTCATGCCCACTTTAGCTACATAGTGTGGGAAATGTGACCTACAGAGTGCAAAGTCAAGACTAGATAACATGCAGAATAAGTAATAAGATAGTTATGTAAAAAAAAAAAAAAAGTCAGTGATATATTATGTCTGAAGTCTGAGCTTTAGATAACAATACAAACAATACACCAATAAAGAAAGATAAATTAGTAATGACTTATTTTTCACTATTTCACATCTACACAACTGCAAATATAAAAAATAAATGAACAGCACAATATGAGAGCAGAACTTTATTCATTTATTCATTAAACCAAACTAAGGGTTTCTTGTCCTAAGGAACAGCAGCAAAATAAATCAAGTTGCCTTCAGCTGGTTGCTGTTAACAGGCAGTAACACTGCTGCTGTGATATTTCAAAATTAAATTTGATGGATTTTTTCACTTCCATTGTTTTACAATCTTCCTTTGCTCTGTCACTTGCTTGTTTTATTTGCTATGCAATTAAAGCAAAACGATTCTTACCAGCTTTAATCCCATGTTCCCTAAACAATGAATCTCCACGTGGAAGAAGTGACAAATCAAAAGTGTCAGAGAGGAGCAGCATACCAGCTTGGTGCAGCTTTGAGATGGCTGCCCGAGAACAAACGCCATGCCTCCCTTGGCTCGATATTCACCGGCAACTTTACCTACAACAGTTTGTTGGTTTAAGTTTTTTTTTTTTTTTTTTTTTTAACAGATTACAGATTTTCAACATGTGAAGGACTGTGTTTGAAAATCCTTTATGCAAAAAGTATTATTCAAAATGAATGAGCTCTTAACAAACTACAACTGAGTTAAGAGAAACTTACATGCATCAGTAACAAAGCAAACCTTGCCACTAACTCATGAATAATTTAAACAATTCACAACCTTAAACCATAAATATATATGAGAAGTTTAGAAGTCCAATGAGTGTCAGGCAGAACAAAACAATAAAACTTCCAGGCAGGAAAATGTCTTGCCTGCACTACAAGACGAAGACTATGCCATCAACGAGACTCGGCCTATACAGCTGGAAATGGAATTGGATTACAGTTAAATACAGTTAAATTAGTGGCTCTGTTTCAAACAAGCTGAACAGATCTTCGTCCCTTTCCTGTAACATCCAAGTCCGGTTTTACACAGACATTCACGCTAAGCTGAAGCTTTCAACTGACCCACAGTAATGGGATGGAGACAGGGTTAATTTTCTATTCACTCAAAATGTTAATAGAAAGTACTTGTATTGACTAATTATATAGCATCCATTCTCAGTTAGTCTTCAGTATGGTAGAAATTAAAATGTTCTTATGCTAATGTTTTTATTTTAACAGGTAACTAAATGTTCTGACTCAAACCTTAAAACAAGCTGCCAAAAAAGACAAAACAAAACAAATCAATTATTACTGTTACTGGACTTTTACACAAGAGTCAAAATACACTCATAGAGCCCAGTAGAGTTAACAGCAATAAAACACTGTAGAAAACAAAAACAATAGAAAAATTCTTAGTGACGAACCATGACGAAACTCATGCCTTTAAGATGCATGATTTGCCTTCAAGTGCAGTCTCCTCAAATACACAACATGTCACTTCACTACAGCATTTAAAAACCAACTCAAACTGTGTGAGAGACAGAGCGGGAAAGAGAGCAAGCACAACCTGAACCAATCCAATGATAAAAGCTTTTCTGATGTGTGACGTACATCTTGATAATACACATACTCCTTTATGCGTCAGGCCTCTCTACAGCATGTTGAGCTCGATGAGTCTCCCAGCAAAGACGCCGACCGTCCCGATGATGCACACGGCCATGAAGACACAGAGCAGGATGTGGTCCAAAACCATGGCAACAAACTTCCACTCCTCTGCTGCCTGGAATGAGATGAGATGAGATGAGATGAGGAGGCAGGAAAGTCGTGTTTGAGATGCAATATGCTCGTCTTATTAGCAGGATATTTAAAAAACTACAGCAACACATAACATAAATAAATAAAGATTATCCCTAACATTTATTACATGTAGTTATGAGGTCTCACCAAAATAATATGACATAAGGCAGTTTAAATAAAAAAAATTGTTATAAATAGTACTTTGAACAAAAGTACAGCTGATTATGTCAGCTGTTTGCTGTGTTTTGTGGTGTTGCCAACAGTCGAGTTGCAGAGTGCCCTCTGGTGGACAAACCATGCAACGACAACATTCACAATATGATTAAAGGATCCCTCTCTCCATTTGTTTTTTGTCAGCTGTTGTAAAACACAGACACCGATTTATCTGCAATTAGCTCATATCAGCCAATAAAATTGGGCTGTAGAACATATTTCAATAAAATCAGATGTAAAGTTAAGAAGTAGTTTGACATTTGGGGAAATATGCTTATTGGCTGAGACGAGATTTACATATCAACACGGTCCTCAGGAAGTCACTGTGAAATTTCATTTCATTTTTGCTTCTGCACTCACATTTTAACATTCCCTATTTTTAAAATACAATATTTTGACTCTTGTTTAGTTTAAAAAAAATAACTACATGGATGGCTGTCCAGCTAAACTTGTAGAGGTTCATACACTTGTATCCATTATTCATGCAGGTGTTGTCTTACATTGTTAGATTCCTCGTCTGATTTCATTGTCTCAGCGATGTACTTCACCCCTTCTATTGCGCTGCGAACATCAGGATTTTTAGTGATGGGAGACTGGTAGGTGACACTGGTGGGGGTGGGGTTACCTGCAGAGGAAGGGGCAGGGACAGATTGTAGTTGCGGGTATACACAGAAAGATATTGCACCTTTTATGATGCTCTGTCTTCCATAATAATAGTAATCATATTATTGACTTATTTAATGTCACTATGACTCTACTGACAGTAACATCAGCAGGTTACACCAACACGCCCTCCAGAACATACGCATGTCCTACGTCAAACTTTCTGTGTGTAGCCTTGCCTGAGATGTCAGAGATGTCCATGTCAGTAGGGAACAACCTCTTCTGCCGAATTTCCTGGCTGGGCCGCTTCATTGTTGAGAAGAACATCATGTTGGGAATGGTTTCGATGAAGACCTGAAAGACGGACAGATACAGGTATTAATACATTTTTTATCATTCACAAACAACAGCAATGACATTTCTTGAATTATCTCAGGTAGATAATCAAACCTTGCGGATCCAGGCGGGCATGGTGTGCGTGCTGGGCGAGCGGTGATGTGTGTTGATGACAATGACAGTGATGATAATGGAGGCGATGACAAACACCATTGTGAAGAGCATGTATTTCCCTATGAGAGGAACAGCGCTGGAGGTGGAGGGGATCAGCTCCACAATAACCAGCAGGAAGACAGTCAGAGACAGCAGGACGGAGATGGAGAGAGTCATCTTTTCACCTAGAGAGATGGACATTCAGGCTACTTTCACACCACAGGTCGTGATGCCAAGATTCACATTTCTGCCTACATTACCTATTATTTCTGCCATTTTTATACAACCTGAATTTGAGCTATATATTGCCAATGCATTTCTTTAAATCATAATCCCATACTGCATTTTGAACTGCACTTTGGCTGTTAACAAAAAGGGCAAACCCGTAGTGTTTAGATTTAAATATCTCTGATGGCAGAAACTATTGGCCAGTTAGGGCTTTACAGATGAACTGATAAACTAACTTGTCAACATTGGGTTAACATTTCAGTGTTTTCTGTATGCTGTAATGTTACAGAATCACCCCTGAGGGCTACAAGCAATTCCAATCTGTGAGTTCAAATAAAAGTCACAGGGATACAAATCCTACTGGTTACTGGAATGGTCATACCAATGTTATTTAGTCACCATCAAAGTTTTAGAAAGATTTTGACAAGTTTCTATGTACTTCAAAACCCTCCAGGATCTACGTACCAGAGTCAGTAGGTAGGTAGAAGACCAGCCCGGTGAGAAAAGAGAACAGCATGCAGGGAATGATGACGTTCACAATGAAATAGAGAGGCAGCCGCAGCATAAGGAAATGGTAGGTAATGTCAAGGTATGGTGTGTCGGGACAGCAGGTGTAGTAAACCCAGTGTTTCCAGCTCCTGTAGTCCTTTAACACCCATTCACCCGACTCCATAAAGTTACTGAGGTCAGGCCGATCATTGTCCTAAAAGACAGAAGAGTAGTAAATAATGCACTACAATAGCAACAGTTATTAAAAAGTTAAATTTATGAGTTACACTCACTGGGTTGATGACGACCAGCAGTCCATCATAGGTCCATGTTCCCAGTTTCATGCTACAGTTCTGCAGGTCGAACGGGAAATGGAGGACAATAATCTCACAGTAACTTTTAAAGATGGCCGGCGGGTTCCATGTTATCATCCCGGTGTGCTCCAACAGGACTTTGGTTTCATGGATGATGGCGAAGTCACCATCAGCACTGCAGAGGAGGAGGACAGGGATAGAGGAGAGGAGAGGAAAAGTGTGAGAGGAGCAGCAAGATGTTCAAGGACATTACAAAAAGAGACAGTGAATGTGTTTACTTGTTGTATAGCACCAGGTCAGGTTTCCATATGTCGGTTGAAGGGACTCTGATCTTCCTGACGCCTCCGTATTCATCTGGATTCCACTTCAGGTTCACATCTAACCATTGCTGGGGTTAAAATAGGAAATGTTTAGCTAACTGTGTCTACTAATGTACTGATAACGCTGTGTTCAGTTGTTTTATTTCCATGAGGAGGAAATTGTCATTTAAGATTCCTAGTCACTTCATACAATGTGAAAAATCCACCATGTCACAAATCCTCCCTTATTCATATTACAAGATCTTATTTAGATCACCCTCTACTTATGGAGATCATTTATGTATGATTTAATTAGTGTGATATATTCACCAAGTAAATATAAAGCATGGATCTTATCATGCAGCTAAGTATATACCTTCCACAGCAGATTAATTGTTAAAATCTATGATAACTAGATTTTGATAACTTAGGCTACTACACTGTTGGGGTCACAGGTGTGTCAGCATTAATTCATAAGGGATTAGTTTACATGAACAGAAGCACTCTGTGTTTTTTGGTAAAACATTGCTTTATGAGTAAAGCTAAGCTTTGCGTGGGTTCCTAAAAATGACAGTAATTTAATGAGACTGAAAAGGTGTGTCTAACAAATATGGGACCTAAAATCCAAATGTTGTTAAATGGACCCATCTATTGCAATGTGGTGTGAAAATCTTGTGATTGTTATTGGGATTTGTAAATGAATGGTTAGCACAGTTTTGTTGTCAAGAATTCAAAAGTCAAATTCAGGCCTACCTGTCTGAGACGTACATTACTGGTCACAATCTGGTTAACTTCATCCTGAGAGATGCAGAAAAGGACACAGACAGAAGCAAGTAGCTTATATTTTCTGAGAGATTTCACAACAAAATATAATTAACAATAAAAAAGCAACTGAAATGAAACACTGTCAACTGCAAAGAAAATGAGAGGCAAAAGTTTTGCTCCATTTCATCTTGAAGGCCAAGCAGACGCGCGTGCGCACGGACGGCGTAAAAATGCCCCGCGCGAATGCGACTTGGCCGAAAATGTTTTCTGCTCAAACAATAGTTGGAACATAAAGTTTAAAGGCAAAAAACAATATTTTTGGAGACGGATACCAGCAACCCTTTCCGTTAAAACATGCCAGTGGCGTTAAAGGTTTGTTCAAACGTTTGTTTCTTCGGTTAATATTAAAGCTAGCTAACGTTAATGTTAGGAAGAACGGCTGGTTTTGCTAGCAGCAGTAAGTAACGTTAGTTTTTTTTTTTTTGTCAACGCTGCCAACTCTAGCTAATTGTTGTCCACTATCGACAGGTTGTGGGAAAGCTGGTTATAACAACACGAAGATAAAGGAGGAGAAAACCTTTCCAGTTTTGGACTTTCAGCCCTGGTCAACATCTTCACAGAACCGGAGCTTGCCAGCTAAAGACCCAGAAGGAGAGCTACAAACAGTAGGAGCAACTCATTTTTATTTGCGCTCTGATGGTGTTGTGTTGTTTGTGTTTTGTGGCCGCCGTGCTGAGCCCGCATGCGTGCGGTTTTGACCCTGGGTGTGTAGTATGCGTGGCCGCCGAGCCTAACCTATCGTCTGTAGGCCACTGTCACCTTGTTGCATTGTGTTTTCATTAACTCATTGTGCCTGTTTTGCATTTGGTTGGGCGATGTGTCATCAAAGTGGGTGGAAAGGTGTGACTTTCTGTCTGCGAGTGACAGATTCATTGACCTTAACCTTGTTTCTTGAGTGAATTGCCGATTAGGCCAGTGGAAATGAGTACTGGATTTGTTGTAGAATGTATTCTGCTGTTGTTTCACATCACTTCATACATTTACCCTGTGTATTGACTGACATGTTTTTAATATAAGACCTGCCTTGTTTATTTCAGTACCATAGCTCCACATATTGTTATCCAAAACTTGCTGTGACCTTTTGTCTTGTGAATGGGACTGTTGGCTTATATTTTGATGGTGTGATATGCTTTAAATTAATTAGATAAATTCCATATTTAACTTAAGACATTGGCAGTTGTTGACACAATGATGCTATGTTACATATTTGTAACTACTACAAATAGTGACTGCCACTACCATTAATGGGCAGATGGTGGGATGCATAGAAACGTCTGTGTGTGTGTGTAGTATGGCAGTCTGATCGACAATAAGTTGAATTTTTATTTCCAACACTGAGAAGACACAAGGCCACAAAGACTGTTTTTCCTTCGCAAACTGTCAAAGTTTAATGTTAAGACCCTCGTGACCTTTTTTTATAAGTCATACATTGAGTCTGTATTAACATTTTTGGTAATTTGCTGGTGTGGTAATATCACGGTCACCGTAAAACTGCTCTTTCCAATATTGTGAAAGTCAGCAGTAAAGTTCTAGGTGTCCAGCAGTGTAGCCTCACTGACCTGTAAAACAGACAGGTAGTAGTTAGGAAGGCCAAATCAATTATTTCTGACAGCACCCACCCCCTTCATTTGCAGTTTCAGATTCTACCTTCTGGTTCTTGGTTTAGATTGCCCCCGGTAAATTGCAATAGATATTCATTCATTCCGACTGCAATCTCCTTTCTAAACTCAGTCCGGAGAAGTAGATAAATGTAACAATTAAATAGTGATGGGGTTTTTATAACATGAATGGTACTTACGTTGATGATGATGGTGATTGTTGTGGAAATGTTGCCGTCTATTGCTACTATATTGTTTTTTTTTTTGATGAACATTGCTGGCTGTTTCTTTTTAACATATGGCCGTCGAATAGGAGGACTATTTATTTATTTATTCAGAAATGGAGCGCCTAATTCTGTAGCACTTTAGCACTTATCCATCTTCTCAATCCTGTTTTATGCAACCAGAGTCTGCAACATTTTAGTATTAAAATTTTTTCATCCTTTTATGTATTTTGGTCTTGTATCTGTCTGTCCTGTGTCTATGCCTTGCTGCAGAACCAATTGCCCTACGGGGACAAATAAAGTTTAAGTAAGTGAGCCACAGCATGGTATGGACAGCCATATTTACAATCCATCAAAAAAGCTTGTCTACTGCTGCATTAATTGGATGCCCTGTTTTGGACCTTGTAATTCAATTAGAATATTTTATACATTTACTAAGCTGTGTTTTTAACTTGCAGTGCACATGTCCCATGGTTTGCAAGTACTACAATGCTTTACTGAAGCAGCAGGTTTGGGTTGAGATAGTAGATTTTGGTTTTACCACCTTTTTCCCACTCCCTTACCACACTGATAAGCTGTATTAGCTGCAGTCCCACTGTAACCACTACGGCGTCTTTGAAGTGGTTAACTGGACGAACCACCTTGTTGTAACCAGCAAACAGGTTATTCACCAGACGAGTCTCGTCCTCTGAGCAGAATACTGGACCTAAGACACACAGACAAACACAAAAGTTCAGTCAGGCAGTCAGACTTTATTTTGTTACATACTCTTTTACTTCATGAGTGTCATCTTCTGTACATTTTGCGCAGGGAGGTCAGATATCAGTCAGGTTGAGTGATCAATAAGGAGAGGAAAACAGATTTGTTTGCGGAGGTGGTGGTGTGCAGGAAACACACTTAAAAAAATGTTTAAGTAGACCTAATGTAAGTGATGTACTCTTCATGCAGTACACAACCTCAGGTTCACACATTCAGAACACATTTTATTTTGTGCTCACTTTAGATAAGGTACAAGTGAGAATGACATGTTACCATGCTCTGCTCAGCTGAAGCCCATGTCCCCACAAATGTTTTCACACCGGAACTGAAATCGCAGCTGAAGCGAGAGTGAACTGTGATTCACACACCAAACATTGCCCTGGCAACTTGAAACCCTTCAGAGAGAGAGGGATAAGGGATACTTTATTTATATTTACTGGAAGAGAGAAAGACAGGAAGCTAGGGGAATTATCATATGAGACGGGGACAGGCGGATGCAGACAGATAAACAGTAACAGCAGTCATGTGACTGGCATTCCATATTGGTGAAAAGCCTTCGCAGTGAATGTCCCACGAGCCGTCTAAGCACTACGATCAAGTCTGTTTCTGTATAAGTCCTTGGAGCGAACGTAATCTCAGTGCTAAGAGGGTGTTTGGGAAAATCAGACCTGGCCAATCCACTTGACATTATGTCTGGATCAGTTTGAGTTCAGAACAGTTAACCTACATTTAACACCTCTTCATACAAAAGGTGTTTCCAGCTAGTTTATTTTATTTATTTTTTTAAACATACCTTTTATGAGCCCATACATTTTTGGATACAAAAAATGTCTTATTTATGTATTTATTAATTAATTCATGTATACTTTTCTTACTCATAGTGAGCGTGTCTAACCCACACAGGCTTTTCATTGACAACTCAGTTGAACCACAAGCAGATAAACATCTGTAGAACTGCTGACCTGTGTAGGGAGCTTTTATGAAACTGTGCCACGATCTTCTACAGATTCATTTGGAAAGCACTGCATTTTTGGTTGTTTGTTAGATTCTGCAGTTTTATAATGTGAAAAGTGGGTGTTTTGTGAGGCTGGGTCGGTTACTGCAATAATATGGCACCTACCACAGTAAAACTGTACTCATTTCAAGAAACAAAAGCTGTCCTGGATTTCTGGGATTTGACCTTTCTGTCTCTGGAAAAATCCCAACAGTTTATTCTGCCTACATATTACATTATCTTCTAAAATCAGCAGACTGGATGATGGCAGTAGTCCAAACTGCAAGCCACTTTACCAACAATAAATTATGATGATGATAATAATATTGGCCCATCAAGATACTGGTCTGGTTCTACCAGAAACAATGGCCGTATCTTTTGTGGAATTGCCCCGGATACTTTCATAGTGTCCAACAGGTTGGCCACCTTCTCAGAACAGAACTAACTGTGTCTTTATCTTGCCTGCCACGTGTAGGCAGTATTACTGTGGTAGGCGATACTTTGTCTACACACTACTACACTATTGCCTATCAGCTTTGTTCATGTAATGACAGTAAAAACGTCACATATTTATGTTATAATATGACCCAGCAGATTATACATGCTAGCCACGTTGTGACCCAACTTACATCCTTTGCATGTTATTTCTGGAATCTGCTGGTGATCCACACTCAGCCTGAACTGAGAAGGCCAGGATCTTGTTACAGTTAGACAGCATAAGCAGAGGACACACACACACACACACACACACACACACACACACACACACACACACACACACACACACACACACACACACACACACACACACACACACACACACACACACACACACACACACACACGTCTTTTGGGATCTTTCTCAAAGATGTGGATGAGGAGTGTGGTGGTGTTGTTTGTATACAGTTGATGTTCATTTCTCTGGCTGTCTGCAAGTGTCTGTCTGTCGCTGGCTGCTTGCTCCCTGTCTGTTGTCCTGCTAGCACGCTTTGATCTGGTCACACACAAAAATAGAAGGGAGGCGGGACAGAGCAGCCACTTGGAGCTGTCAGTCATTGCCTGCTCTCAACTCCACTGCAAAATAAAACCCGAAGGCTCTTACCGTTTTCTGCCACTTTTTTGCTGAAATGTAACACAAGTGTGGGCGTGGAGATTATTTCCAGTTGCTTTTGAGTCTATGATGGTATTGTGGCCCTGAAGCAAGCTTTTGACCAAATGTGATTACCTTGAGTCACATGACAGACTGGGAAAATGATGTTGAGGAAAGTGAATCAGTCCTACTGACAATGCATTTGAGCAGGGTTTCAAAAGAAAAAAATTGGTAGCCATTTACTCTCAAATTGCCTCATCTGTTGTCGTTCGCAGTGGCCTTTTCTAATTGTAGCATTCAGTCAAATGGTTGAATGGGTTTGGTTGGCTATAGATATCGAGTTTCTTATTCTGATTATTGAAATAACTAAATTATCTTTTTGGCTCTACTGCCAATGATGGGTAAACTGAGAACACATAACTGGTAAAAAAAAAAAATATATTTTTGCCTGCCATAAAACTGCATCATGGACTTTGACTAAGAATAATGATCTCATATTTTTATATTCAAACTTTAGCATCACTTTAAAGAGACAATTGTGAACAGATAACTTTGGATTTACAACCTTTATTCTGAAATATCTGAAATTCTATAAAAAGATAATTAAATGACATTGTTGCCTCATCATCAGACATGCATTTGTCACCCATATTCTCAAAACCTGAGCAACAGATTACAGATTTTGTTCATGGGCATGAAGCTACACAGGGGTGGTGGCACAATGGATAAGACACCTGCCTTTGGTGTGAGAGAGACCTGGGTTCAATCCCCCACTGTGACCTATCCATCATTGTGTCCCTGAGCAAGACACAACCCCTAATTGCTCCAGAGGCGTGCGACCTCTGACATAAATAGCAATTGTAATTGTCAGCTAAATTAGTAAATGTAATGTATAAACTACCAAATTCAACATCGCTTTAAAGAGTAAGACACCCACATTCTGCTAGTTTCCTCCATCCTAGCATTTTTAAAGCAACATTATGTATTAATTTTATCTTAAAATAACAGCTTCAAAATGATTTTGATGTTACACTGACTTATAATAGGGAGAGTGGCGTCTCTATTATCGCCACTCTGGCCCCGATAAGTAGAGCCCGACCGATTTAACGTTTTGCCGATATTATTGGCCGAATTAAGCTACTTGCTTATATATGCTTGATATATCACCATCGTTGTTTATAACAGCCGATATATGACTATTAAAAAAGAGAAACAGAGTCAGATCCTTCCCTCATGTCATGAGTGTTCCATAGTTTGCCCACCAGGGGGTGTGCTGCAGCTCCTTTGTTGACAACACTGCAGCACCACAGAACAAAACATCAGCTGACCGCAGTCTACGGAGCTCAGAGCCGCTCTGCCGGAGCTACGGAGAGTAGCTCCTGGTAGCGCTCACACTCGGTGTTCCCAGTGAGTAGGTCATTTGTCACGTCAATTACATGACTTAAATAATAAAAATAGCCCTCATCACTTCTCCTCTTTGGAGACCTGACTTGATTACCCTCCCGTTTTTCACTGCCCTCTCCAGGCTCAGCAGTGATTTAATGTGACGGTAACCTAGTGTTGGAGGCTACGCTGTCTGGTCCTCTCAGTTCTCTCTTAATATATTACTTCTAAATATTTTCTAACATCCACAACAGCAGATAACGCTGCCTGTTGCTAAATTAGCCACAAAGCTAATGTCGTGGTTATCGGTGGAGGGGGGCTAACATCAATGAGCGATTAAAGTGTAGTGTCTGTAGTTACAGTCGGTGTGTCAGAAATTATTAAACCAGAGGGGACTTGTGAATAAACGTGAGCTGAACAAGTATCTAACACACAGTTGCAGATCCTTGTTGTAGACAGTCATGAAGTATTAGATTAATTCAAGGGCAGTGTTTCCTCTGCATCACTGTCATAGAGCCAGAACGTGGTTAGGAAATAGTTTCTGTAGCTTTGGATAGAATTAACAGAGTGCAGGTGATAAACTAGATCTAGAAAGTAGTTATAGTGGCAGATTATATGTAAGGTAATAACTATTGCATGACCAAAAAAAAAATCTATCGGCTATTGGATTTTAAAATCCTCAAATCAAAATCGGTATAAGACTTAAACTCCATATCGGTCGAGCTCTAGCCCGGAGTGGATGTTAGCTTCGTGGCACCTGGCTTCGCATGTGACGCTGGAGGTAAGGAGTCATTGACCAGAGTGACTTAAGCCACTTTTCGACCAAAAGCCCCGGAGACTTTTAAGTCCCCGGATCTCTTTTCAAGGAAGTAAAAGGTTCTTTCCGCCCACTGTTGTGATTCCACTATGGTCTAAAGACCTGCGAAGATTAGGCTATAGGCCTATACGCCGTACAAAGCGATGCACAGGCATCATTATTTGTAACCACTATCCATGAGCAAAATTTATAAATGAACATCAGGTTTGACTGGAATATAATGGAAAAACTATAGGCTTTGTGTGACTATTAAAAACAGCTGGTTTTGTGTGGGAGTATAATGAAGAGACACACGATAAAGTTTGAGAGAAAGCAACACAAAAATAAAATTGCGACAATTTGGAAAGTTATTTCAACAGCCGACAAGAGCTGCAGGACTGCAGCTGTTCCGCTTGTTTTGTAGAAGAGGAGACCGACTTCGGCTCTGTGTAAAAGATTCCTGACTGGAAACACCGCTGCACACTGGCTGCTATTTCTGAGCAATAGGCTATGCTACATTAATGCCGACGTTAGATTTCAGGCTGCAGCACTAAGGAATATCTTCCTGAGCCTTTTTTTGTTTTGTAGATTAATCTAACAATATTTTTTTAATCAATTATTTGATTAATTTAACGCTTAATTCATCTATTATTCTAAAGATTTGTTTTAATTACTCTCTCTTGGTTATTATAACAATTAATTTATCCAAAATAAATATCAACAAATTGTCTCATTTAATATTTCAATATTTTTTTCAAACAACAACCTGAAAAAGAGACACAAAAAACCACATTAGAATTATGATAATAGTAAAATTAGTCTAATTTCCACACTAGTGCTGTTTTTATGATATTAATAATGGTAGACTCTATCAGAAAAATAATGGACCTCAAATTCACAATGATTGCTGTGACACATAGATTAATTTAAACACAGTATGTCAACCCTTTCCCTGAACTGGAGACTCACTGTTTTTACTTAAGCACTTGACTTTAGACTTCAAATGGTTATGACTTGGATTTATGGATTAATATGCAGTAAGATGATCACAAATGTCAGTCTCAGATTGAAATAACAGTCTGTAGCCCATTTCTCTCTCTCAGAAAATGTAAAACAGGCAAACGTTAGATGACGTATAGGGTAACGTTAGGTTACCATAACAGACATTCGTGTTTTAAGGCTGTAATCTCTTTGTTATACTGACATACAAGCTCCACCTAGTAAATATTTTTCAAAGTGGAGGTAACCTCTAGATTTAAAGACCTTCAAATGATTTACTGAGCACAGTTTTATTGCACTTATCTGCAGTGATGCAGATAATGTCCAACTGGTGGTTTACAGGCAGCATCCATTCATCCTGACACACCACCTCTATCTGGCCATCACATCAGTTCATCAGCTGCGGGGTCATAAAATCAAATGACTGAACTGGTAATCACTAAGCATTGAAGTAAAAATCTGGGGGATTCAGGTATGCTACTATAATGAATACACCATTTATATTAAAAATAAATTGGCAGTTGGGTAAAAAGATCCGACTAATTCTGGCCGCACACAAAAGAATAATTGGGCCTATTTTGAGTTCGATTTGCCTCTCCAAGTGCAACAAACTGATGACGACAGTCTGCCTCCATGTTTATGTCTCAAATCACATTTCATCATGCGAGTTTCTGTGAGATCTCAAGACCGTACAATCACTACTTTGAAATCATTTAGTACAAACGCATGTGTGGTCCTTGGTCTTTACTGAATTGTCTGGTGTGTGCATTCTTAAGATTAAAATATTAAAAATCGGTTAAATCTGTTGTTGTCTGTGGTATCCCACGTATTTAAAATTGGTTAAGATTTGAAAATCCTCTAGTGTGCACCAAGCATAAAGCACTTACAAAATGTAAAACACTTTCTATTAAGACCGGATCAAGACTCTGCCAGCATTTTATTCAAAAATGCATTACCTTTTGATTCCAAGTCTTCCTTTTCAGAGCTGTTAAATCTAAGTGTTTAGGATCTTTGTGAAGATAATATTTATAGGTTATATTTTGACTTTAATCTGAAATTGAATGGCCATGTGATCAGCACAGAGGACAGTGGGTAATGCCCCAGCTCTTGTTCCTTCTACCTAATTTCATTTCTTAAATCATATGTTCTCATTGAGATACTGCCAAAACCCCAATGCTTTATGGTAGCTATGAGTGGATCATGTAATTTGATGTTAAGTAGCCCTAGGTGTTTTCAGTAATTGAAGTCATGTTCTCTTCATTTGTTTTTTGCTGCCTACCAGATAAACCAGTCAGATTATGTTGTAATTACTGTCTGTCCTTCAGAGCAGAGACGTAGCATGGAGTATTTTGCAGGTATCAGTGGATGACGATAAGCAGACCATGAAATAATGCATTTCATGGGTAAAACATTTGTCATATAATATGAGATAGAAATTAATTTAAGAGAATATCAAGCATTGAAATATGGATGTCTTACAAATCTATGAAGTGCTGCATGCTTTGGGGAGGCAAAGTAGGCCTGATGGTTAGACTGCCCAGTACTTGAAAGGTCACTGGTTTAATCCCCCCAACAGACAGTGTGTGCATCAACAAGCTGCATGTGTCCTGTTCAAGTGTCCTTGAACAAAGACACCAAACCCATACCTACTCACTGATAAATATAAATCACTCTTGAAGAGGACATCAGTAAATGACTTAGAAATGAATGCAGCAAGGAATGCTAACAATGCTGATCTGCCTTTTTTAAGGGTACCTAAAGGACATACGCTAATACACGGTCTGTTCTGGAAGTGCTTTGCACAGAAAGTAACAGTCGATGTTACTTCCGTGATGTATGTAGTAGATAAGAATCACGATACTTCTGCGAATTAACACCTTGCTTGCTAATATTGTATATACCAGGATAGCTGTCTCTTTTTTAATATGTCTGGTTGCGTAAGGCCTGTGTGGGGATATTGCAAATCAATGAGCAGTCTGCTTTATGGCAGTGTTGGATATTTGTGATTTTGGCACTTGTCAGGTATTTAATTCACTGCATTAACCAAAGCCAGAGATTTCTGTCTGGTTATTTTATCTATAAGCTGTAGTACAACAAAATGCACTATAGAACGGTGTATATATCGATATTGTGAAATACAGTTATATATAACATGATAGAAGATTTTATTAATATTTCCTACCCTTTTTCTCTTAGTTTCCAGGCCATATGTGAGGAAGCTGTCTCCAGTTTCTGAATATGGCACTCCACTCACTAGTACAGTTTCTGGAGAGATCAGTACATGATCCACAGAGATCATGAATTTAGCACTTAAATATACTTAAATATACACATAGTCTTTATTGAAAATATAACTGCCTGGATGATGGCTTTCGCAAAGAAACTTCTAAATAGTTTAGAGATAATTTAGACCTTTAGAAACAACATGCCAATCCCCCTTTCATATCAGCTACAACATGCACAAAAACATAACCAAGAAGGTTGAAATATCAAGACCTCCACACACACAAACACACAAACACACAGGAAGACTTACCGGCAAATACACAGAGAATCCATGCCAGCAAGATCTGGACCTTTGAAAGATTCATATCTCCACCAGATGTTTATGAAATTTACAGCTTCCGTTTTACAAAGTCTTGTTAACCAGTTAGCAGGTCACAAGCTAACCTATTAACTGACTTTCACATAGAAGCAGACATATGCAATAAAGCTGTAGCAGTTACTTTGGAGTTAAAGTGAGTCCTGGGAAGGTGGCTCGGCCAGTAAGTGAACTCTGTCAGCTCTGGTTTCCACCTCCCCCACCCAACAATATCCCAACCTCTCAGCACACTTCAAGGCAGTGGAGACAGCTGGGTGTGTGTGTGTGTGTGTGTGTGTGTGTGTGTTGAATATACACAAATCAACAGTCATCATTTCTCATATGTGGAAGTTTTTCTTAGGGTGATGTGTCCAGCACAGCATCTTATATCAGTGATATAGAGAAGCAGGCCACAGTAAGAGGCATAAAGACAGACAGTGGACAGGAAAAGAGGAAAGACAAGAAGATGGACAGTGAATGGGTCAGGACAGAGACAGACACAGGGTGGCAGACAGGAGGACAGCTGAGAGCTGTCACTGATGGAATGAGAAGCATTTCCACACATGCTGCTACCCTGAAACACACACACACACACACACTGTACCCACCACCCTGCCAGCATGCATGCCATGACAGGAAACTCACCAGTGTTTGTGTCAGACTGAACAACTGCCCAGTTTTACATCTTTCAAGTTTTCAATGCGTATTCAGGTTTTATGTTGTTAAATGATTACTTATAAGATTAGAAAACTTTTTAGCTGTTGGTGTGAGTGCGCTATGAAATACTACACTATGCAATAACTTCAACCATGCATTTTTCAAAGCACAAGTCTTTTATATTACTTTTGGCTCTCAGAGCTTGTGATGCGCATTTTACATCACTGATTGATTGATTAATCAAAAGAAAAGTCAAGAGATTAATAGCAAATTAGTTTTTTGATCCAGTCTGCAAGTTAGGTTAATTAATTAAAAACCATGCAGTGGAAATTAAATTTGCAATAATAAAGGAAAATCTGTCACATGTTGGAAGCCAGGGCGATGTTGTTATGTTGCTTTTCATCCACTGGATGGCACGAAGCAGCTGAGGAAGCTCAGCCCAGAGCAGAAGCCAAGAGCATCAAACCAGGAACTAATATTATAAAAAAGAAGGGCCTGTGGGTCGATTTTCTTGTCTGATTAATAGAGTGAAACCAATTGGCTCTAGCTATTATGGTGCCTGTAAAATAGGAACTACAAATGGTAAGCAGCTCAAGCTTTTCAAGTGGCAGCAGAAACATACCCTTTATATTCTTCAAATTTAAAATTTTAGTGCTAAACAAATAAAAAAAAGTTTTAGATGTTCCTCGGGATAAATTTGTAGTGAGTGCCACAGGAGAATGCAATTTACAGTGGAAGCAGACATTTGTAAACACAAGAGCCAAGAGAGTTGTACTTGAAGGTAACTGTAATAATAAAGTGGGCAAACCACAGCCAATCACATGACATTGTATAAAAGTTGCATGCAGTAATGCATCGTGGGCAGTGAACAGGTTCAGCTCATGTAAATCTGCCATTTCATCTATGCTGCCAGCCTCATACTGTACTGTTAAATACAACGATTTAACTTCTCGTTCTTAAAAACTTTACGACAAGAGTGTTCACGACTAATGGACCTTTCTCTCCCAGAACATTTTCTAATATTTTTACTTGACATTAAACTGAAACGGAATTTGACTCTGGATTGTACATTGCTCACAATGTGCTTACTCATACAAAAATAAAATACAATCAGACACAGACTTCAGTGTAGACAACACAGATATACACACTATGAACAATAACAATATAGACATATTGACAAATAGGGCAGTGACCAGAGTGCAAAGGATGCAGGAGTATGTACATGTCGGAGGTGGATGTGATATACAGGTACATATGTATGCATACATGTACACATTGCAATGAAGCATAGTGCAAAGGATGCTGGAATAAATAAGTAAAAGTATTTTGTGCAGGAGTAATGACTTGAGGTAGGTGGATTTGGTATATAGTATCTATAATATGACAGTATAACAGTATGAACAGCACTGAAATAGAGAGTGGTGAATAAATAATAAGTGTTAGCCAGGAAACAGGTGGCTGATTAGAGGCAGAGTTATTGGGTTATTGCACAAGAATTGTTCCTGACACCGTGAGTCAGAAATCAGCTATTCGTTTGAAGGCATTAACACAAACATGAATTCAGCAACTGTTGTCCCCACTAGATGGCGGTACAAGACTGAGAAACCACAGCACAGGGAACAGGGCTTGGTGATATTAATGCCTACACTAGGGTGGATGTGTACATATAATTGTGTAAATGTGTGTTCCGGTCTGTTTGCCTAGTTTTCTGTCTGTCTGGCATTCTAAGGTATGCTTCTCGCTGCCAGTCTGTACATTTGCCACCAATTGGCTTTTCTTTCTCTCTGCTTGCCTTCCTGTCTCTCACTTTTCTCATTAGCCTTTGCTTGTTTTCTTCCCTGCCTCTTTCTCTGTTTCTGTTCAGGAGACGGACACTGACACTCTTTCCTCATTCACACATGAGGGTGAAAATTGAGACTGAATTGTGAAGGAAATATGAAAGAGCACTTTGAGATGAGAAATGTAAACCTTATATCCGAATTGAATGGCACGCAGAATGTCAGTATTTCCATACCCACTCTGGCCTAAAATCATCACCTGTAAGATCGATGGGATGCTATCAATCAAGACCTTGAATTACCAAATAATCTTTTAAAAAACAAAACTTCTTAAAATTTGCCAATTTCTTCACAGTATGTTCTCTTCTTTGAAATGGCAGAATAAAACTTAATTTACTTGGTGATGAAAAGGTTATTCTGTTGAAGAGAGGAGCTTTCTGCAGGAAATTGACAACAAACCAGTAACAACTATTTATGCATTCAGATGTTTTTGATTTACTGGACTATTCAGAGGTTGGATTTACTGTATTGTTTGTGTTTTATACTTGGGCCATGTTTAACAGCCGTGATTTAATATGCGAGAGCTTTATTGAAATGTATGAATTAGAATATCACACGTAGAAGTGTTTGTCTTAATTGGCAAAGACAAGATTTTAAGTTGATAGGGGAAAAAGTTAAGGCCTTTGCACACCAAGTCCATGTTTTTCATCCAAATATGTCACACATTAGAAAATAAATACAACCTCATACTGTGTCAGTACGTTTACACACCGACTCCAAAACTTTCATCAGTTTTCGGAACAGGTTTGATTTTCTGCGTTTTTCGCCTCTGTCAAAAGCCTTGTTTGACCGCTCATGCAAACGTCCTCACCCAAAGTGGCATGTGAAAAGCTGATTCACTTCCTCTCCCAGCACCAAGGATTTTACAGCCATCAAAGTAAAGAACTTGGAATTGAGGATGGTAGGTACCGATCGTAAAACAAAAGTTGTACGAAAGTTTAGACAGTAGTGATTATGCTCTCGGCAGCCAAATGATTTATTTGCCTTGTTTTGTATACTAATGTCAGCTGAAGCAGTGAAGAAAATGTGGCCTAACCTGTGGGAGACATACATCCATAACAAGAGAGAGGTACAGAAGAAGTGGACAGAGGGGCCAGCAAGAAAAAGAAGTGGAAGTATAGGGAAGTAGTTTCCTTCTTGAAATCTTCAACAACAAAGAGACGATAACGTTAGCCTATCCAGAAATGCACAACAGCAATTATGATGCCTATGGCGGTGTGCAATTTAATAGCCGCACAGTAGCTATCATTTCATAACTCAGATTCTCTCTGCTTTCAGCAGGTCAGATAGTAATATTCAGGTGGATGATGACAAGGAAGAGGATGAGGACGGCGTGCAGACAAAGTGGGAGGACAGCTCAGCCCCTTCAGGTAGCGGTGGCAAGGCGCCAGCAGAGAGTGGCGACAGCCTTTTGGAGGTTCTTCCAGTGAAGAAATGCAAGGGAGGAAATGAGAGAAGGAGCGAGAGACAGAGTGACAGCAGTGTCAGGCCTTGCAGGAGCTGCAGACAGATGAGGTGTCCACCTTTCACTCCAGCTTGGCCCCCTGCACGAGGAGGCTCACCCCAGAGGAAAAATCAAGATGCAGGAATTAGTTCATGATTCTGCCTTTTTTTGGGGGAATCAGCAGTAGTTTCCCCAGGATCCAACCTACTGTAATAGGTTATTTATTTATTTATTTTTCTTTCTTTCTGTTGTTCCAAATTAGGATCACTGACAAATAAAGTGACTAACACTGATTATCTAATTATCGCTCAGTCGGTGGGATATATTAGGCAGCAAGTGAACATTTTTTCCTCAAAGTTGAAGTGTTGGGAAAAATGGGCAAGTGTAAGAATTTGGGCGACTTTGATAAGGGCTGTGAACTGGCGACAGGGCCAAGACTCATTGATGCCCATGGGGACCACCCACTTAACCTTGAAGGCAGACCATGTACACCATTCATGGAAACTGTAATTCCTGATGGTTCAGGAATGGTTTAAGGAACACAACAACTAGTTCAAGGTGTTGACTTTGCCTCCAAATTCCCCAGATCGCAATCTAATTGAGGATTTATGCGATGTGCTGAACAAACAAGTCTGATCCATGGAAATCCTATCTTGCATCTTATGACTTAAAAGGATCTGCTGCGTGGTGCCAGATACCATAGCACACCTTCAGAGGGCTGGTGAAGTCCACGCCTCGACAGGTCAGGGTTGTTTTGGCAGCAAAACAGGATCCTACACAATATTAGGCAGGTGGTCATAATGTTTTTGCAGATCGGTGTATATGTTAAATGTATCATATTCTCAAGTAGAGGTGCTGATGTTCCCACAGTTGTTAAATGAACCCAGACTGGAACACTGGAGGGGAAGTGGGTGTAATATTTCACCCATGCAGATGCTTGGACATAAAATCTGAAAGCTTTCAGATTAAAAAGAGCTGAAGTCTCCAGCTGGCTGAAAGATGTCTGAAGAGCTCACATTCCAGTGGTTGGAATCTAAGAAGACCAAACAGGAATATGTTTAACATATG